TTAAAATGGAAACAAACTAATTTCTTTTAATATATGAAAAATTGATTTTTGTAAATCTTTTCAAGATTAAAAATGTTGTACAAACAACCAACCAATAATACTGCAATAAATATACGTGTAGTAAAAGGAGTGTCTGTAGTAAACTGATTCAATGCAAATCTAGAATTATATAGAATACCATCATGAATAAAAACTGTCTGAAAAGAATGCAGTTTATGTAGTGTGATTCATATCATCAAACGTGACAGCACTTCGACACCTTATAAATATTAACTTTAAGCAATTGTTAATTACAATTTCAGAATTGTTTGTCGCAAACTAAAGGATTTATAGAGCTCTGTAATTAAGGACATTTGTCATTAATTAAGATGACGCCTCAGATGTCTGCATCAGTGAAAAGAGTTTAGTGTCGGCAATGAACGTGGTGGTTCAACCAAACAATAAATGATGTTGGCAGACATTGATCCATATAAACAAAGCCTTCAATGCACACAAATTTCATGCTCATTGTAAAGTCCGAAGGGTTGAAAGTGTGTGCAGAATAATCTCTCACAATGTACATAAGTACCGTATTTTTTTAAACGATTCCGATGGAAAAGTCAAACAACGACGGATTTGAAGAATTTATATCATCTCGCTCGATTTGAATGAAATAAAATTTACATTATATATATATATATTTGTAACAATTAAACCACTTTCTCTCTACTTTTTCATATGGTGGTAGAATCAGTTGGGAAGGAATATTGATACAGACTAAAAATTAAACTGACACTAAACTCATCGTTTTGACATGAGATTAACTTCCTCATGCAAGTTCGGCAGCATAAACCCCATAATTTGTGACCTTAGCACTTCCATAAGATTGAAAGAATTACAGTAGTAGTACAATTCTTAATTAGAGGCGGTTTGCTTTCCACCAAATACAGATCAGTAAAAGATTAGAAGGACTAACACTTTTAAACTTACTTATCCAGATTTACCTGCACAGTACGTATTTACCTTGTACATTATAGATGTTAAATTGCAGTTGCGATACTGTGATAATTTCTGTTTCAATCGCTGCATGTCTTGAATACTTGAATGACATGCAAATTTTACTAAATATAGATAATGGTTCCGGTGAACCTTGTAAAGCACAAGGCACACATCGTGATGATGAAAAGTCTTAGGAAATAAAATAAACACAATTGTGAATCTTTTTTTTTTGGCGCTGAGGTACGAAGATCAAAATTGTATCAGCAGCAAGCAGGAGCAGTGGCAGTCAGTGTCAGTAGCGTCTGCCGTCTAGCTGTCCTACTGACCTTCAGAAGTTGATTGAAAGTGACACCACGAATGATCTTCATTTTGTGGAGGATTTAAGTGCAACATCACATGTCTTATTTTGACGATTCTAAAACGTTAATACTGACCGCAGTACCGCACTACCAGATATGTATTGATGAACTGTGCGTTAGTGTAGTACAGCTTAAAAAAATCTCCCGTCATTCACCTGTCATATTTAACACCAGTTATATTATAGGTCGTCTCCTTGCTCCATTAAATCAATTTCATGATTCCTTTGTTATACATAATCACTACTTTTTAAGACATTTTCGGAATAAAGACTATTTGATCTAACGTAAATATCACTAATCTAAATATATATCATCCTTGTTGGAATCTACAATTGTAGACAATAGGGCCATGACATGACACATATGCATGTACACATACGCACATAAATGCAAAATGAAGTGTGGCATTGAACACCTCACGTTTCTTGATTTCCATGTTTGTATAAAGCAAATGCCCTTGATTTCCTGATTAATACCTATTTATCAAATAATTTTAAGATTCTAATGCATGCTTCACCATGTGGTAGTGTAGATACGTGTACGTTTATTGGTACCTACAATTATTACAACAATTAAAAGTAAGGCGTGTCAAAAAGAGTTGACAGAAAAGATCATGGGCAAAGTTCAAGAAAATATCCATCAACAATGTGAGTGATGAGAAAATACTTATTTTATTTTAAATTAGGGAAGATTTTAGACATTTATTTCATTAAAACAAGGCATCGCCATATACAAAAGTTTCATTAAACAAAATTAATGACTAATGTGCAGTATCATCGCCAAACTTTCATCTCGCAATCAATCCAGACAGGCAGACAGGCCAAGACCTTCTATCAGATCATGAATGAAAGTACAAACTAGTCAACTGAACTAATTCGTTCATTCTCATCCAACCTAAATATTTCGCACACAATTTCTAGTAAAAGAGTTCTTATCTCAACTACAAAAAATGATGTAAACCACAGAATATTTCACTGCGGGGACCCCGAGTGTTGTGCAGGGCCAAATATGTGTATTACACAATATTTCAAATAATTTGGCCAACGTTACAGATAAATTTTAATTTTAGTATGTCGACTCCAAGCCAAAGTTCAAAATAATTACAAAATCATGCCACAGAATAAAAGTTATGACCAAAATCCAACCTAAAAAATGATAGATGAGATGAGGCAGGTCGCGCACATCGTGACCACAACTTACATCACATCAATACTATAATTCATTTATTTTATTTTGACTCTCTTGCATGCACCCACCCAACATTATTGAGTGAAAAGTGAAATACGCACAATGCTTCGGTCGACTAAATATGACAATGGTGTGATCAAATCAAACTGAATAAAATATCACTCAAATAGAATTTTACAAAAAATAATTCAAATTCTGTCACGCGTCCAACAACAAAGCAGAACATGCCATTGCTGCCGACAGCATGTCACGATTTTAGGGATATTATAGATGGTTATTAAAACATCTGGGCGAAAATGACGAAATTTGGATGTCTTATGAGACTTATATAGCTATTGTAAATAATAAATATCATATATTGTATGCACGAAATCCTTTACAAGCCAACTTACTGATTACACCTATACAACAGTTCTTTTTAGTTGTGTACATTTTACATCATTTGGTGATAAATAAGACTCTCGAGAGCATTTCCCACTAATACTATATTGAAAGGAAAGGACGTAAATAATGCATACAAAATTCGAATTAGCATGGTCAATCATCACATTAGAAAAGTCGGAAGGAAACACGGTGTCGTTATACGTGCACCCAACACTTACTTAGGCATGTCTGAATGTCTGCCGAGAAACAACAAAAATGCAATTTGTTTGCACTCACTGTATGCAAAGAAACTTCCTCAACAATCGTGCACGCAAATTATATGCTTCTTAAACACGTAATCTAGTTATGTCGGGTTATAACCAGATATATATCTAGATATATCTGGTAATATCTAGTTTCGGATGTCCCAATTTAACTTTTTCAAAAGCGATAAATAAATTTTGAGTCTCATCGTCAGGAGCATCCCTTTGTAATTACCACATACTTATCCGTGACGACTGACTGGGTGCAACTCTTTCCTTTATTAGCCCATGCACACCGCGTCCTTTGCTGCAATTGCATTTTGTATATTGCACTTTGGTTTGCAAGATGATGAGCTATATATTTAAAACGATCGTAAACTCAGGGACTGTGTCAATTAAAAAACCTATCAGTACAGCTTTGCTTAGCCCGAACCAGGATTGATTAATAAACCCATGTTTGTCAGAATGTTGTACTATTTTTCACTAATTCTTGCATTAACTAGCGTAACTTGGTAGTATTGCTTGGCACCAAATACCACGTTCAGTGGAAAATGTTCGTATAAAAATTTCGAAATTCAACCCTCTTAAATTCGAATCTAAGTTATTTTTTGACTCCTCACTAAATTTTAGCTGAATATATAAACTCTTAGAAATCGGTATGGGCACCCCCTTGGTTTTGGTTACTTTTCGTTCATCTTTGACGCCATATAATTTCATGAGAAGCTATTCAGTATCACGATTCCGAATTTCAGCCTTTTGCGACAAGTTATAAAAACCGGTATGGGTCACCCCAACGGATCCCGGCATATGAAAATTTGACCAATTTCGCTTCATATTCTTCCATTAGGTGCCATTAACAACGTCTATACCAAATTTCAGCTCGATTGGATGATTTTGAAAAATCGGTATGGGTCACCCCCTCGGGCACCTCTTCTAGTTAAAAAATTTTTCAATTTCACTTCATATTGTTTCGTTAGGAGCCATTAGCAACCTCTATGCCAAATTTCAGCTTTCTAACACAATTTTGAAATTTTGGTGCATAATACCCTACCCACTCAGATGACCCCCACCGGTCAACCACTGGACCAATTTCTCCCATCTTCGAACTCGTTTCCTAACTTTGTCCAAGACACATATGGTAAAAATTTCAAGTCAATCGGTCAACTTGTTCGAGAGCTATCGAAAGACAGACGGACAGACAGACAGACAGACGGACATGACAATTACATAAGCCCTGATTCGGGCTAAAAAGGAATGACCAAGATTAAGATGATGAGTAAACTGGGGTTGACTGATTCGCAGGTATAACTTCAGCAATTAAGTTGAATTAAGTCCTATTCACGAATATGAATATTACGATACAACAGGTTGAAAATTCCTAAGAATGAATTCAGTACACAGCAGAACCACATTGATTTGACGTAATAAACGTAATAATTCAATTATGGACACACATGCATTAGTTTATCTATTTTTAACTCAATTGTATCTTAATCAAATAGAGGCACGCAGGTTTACAGAATGTATGAAATATGTAAGTACATAAGACATGCAAACTTATGAAACGCTATTATGCCAATTAATGAAAAACTAATATGAAATACAAAAATGTCACCAATAATAATTTAGTTTTTTATGAATGGCGTATGACGTGCACTGCAATACTCCTCCTCCCCTACATATATATCAATCAAGGAGATAAGCATATTATAATATGTATATGTACGATATTTGATTCGTATGTATGTCATGTTCCATGATGAATGAAATTCGTTCAAAAGATTCAAGATCAATGGAATGGTCATTTTTTGTTTAAAAAATTGCCTAGGATGGAATTAAAATTTTTGTATAAAATGAGGTCTAAAAGCTTGGGACATCGACATTAAGTATCAAAGGTTTTTGAAGTACTGTAATAATTTCTTTTTCGACATGAAGGGTTTCCTCATCCTCGCCTTGACGTTAGCCGCAGTGGCCATCATCTCCGTAAGTCAAATGTTTTCATCACTTTGCTATGCAGAAGGTACCTGTGCAATAATCTAAATTTCTCACCGACCTTTTTGTCGAAATTTGTAGGGGTTTGTGCACCACGACCACAGCAAAGGGCATGACCACGAGGTCGACGGGGAGGAGTCGTCAACCTCGTCGTCGGGGGAAAAGCATCATCATCATCACGGGAAGCACCACCATAAGAAGCATCACCACCACCATCACAAGCATCATCATCACTGGAAATGTAATGGAGAAGCCGTAAATTCTAACGCCGAGCTGATCAAGGCGAAAAAGGAATGTCACACGGAATTTAAAGAAGCCAAGGAAAATAATGTTGAAAACAGACAAAAGGGACGAACCGTAAGTTTTGTTTAAATATAATTCTATCATCATCATGATCCTCACGTTGACGGTTGAGTGCAATTATGTATTTCTAGTGCAAGAGCTTATGTGCGGGCAAGAAAATCGGATTCGTAAGTGGCTTAATTTCACTAATAATTATGTGCATAAGATAAGATGAGGTTCAGATTTTGTAAAAAAAAGAGACATTTTATGAACTTTACAGTTTGATGAAGAAGGTCAAGTTGTCCAAACCAAGGTAGATGAGCTTATCGAATCAATGATTGAAAGCACCGAAGCTCAAGCTGACATCAAAGAGAAAGCTGTTGCTTGTGCCACGAATACTACCGAAGTTTTTGCTGGTTAGCTAAACTACCAAATATTTTATCATTATTATTATTACTTATCACTCAAATACTTCATCTCGCTTAATTTCAGATGGACCATCTGACACTAAATGTTCCAATTACAAGCCATACCTTAAGTGTTTATGGATGTCTACAATGGAGGTGTGCGTCAAGAATTTCGACCCTGAAGATTGGGAATAAGTATTCAATTTTGATCTACCGTGCTGCTACTATTTTAATACACATATAATTCTATTTAATATGGAAAATTCATTGGTTTCAATTTGCGTGTACTTTGATTTGGTCAAAAAACTTAATAAAAACATGTTCTTTTTAACGTATAAAGACATTAGCATTTATTTTCCGATGGCAAAATTTCTTGAACACCGTTATCATCGATGCCTACGAACTTGCTGACTTTTTCGCCCTTCTCCGCCAGAATTTCTTCGATATTTGTTCCCCCAGAATTCGGGAACCAGTCCAAGTTGTCTGCAATCAGGTGGCGATTCGAACAGGTGTTGCAGGTCACAATGACCACTCCGCGAGTATATGCCTGTTTGGATATCATGTAGGAATTTGATCCATTGCAAACCCTGCGTGCACACGGACAATTTTTTATGCAAATACAACTGTCATTGACGTTTCTAGTCTAAACTTTGATAACCTTTAATACTTACGTGCATGTAAAACTAAGGAATAACTTTGCAGGAGACTTTTCATAATCAGACTTGACCTCTGAATCAGTGGAATGCGCATTGATATTCGCCAAAGGTACACTACTGCCACTACAATTAACAGAATCGTTCTTATTTAGTTTGCAGGACTGGGTTGAAAATCTATTGAAATTGTGCGTCTGTCGACTCCACGACTGATAGCAGTAACGTCCAATAGTACATTGTGGCGTTCTTTGCTGAATCACAGGTAATAGTGACGATGCAATTGAGTAATTAGAAATAGATCTCTTAATATCAAAATTGAAACTGGTAGATATTTGAATAAACCTATTTGAAATGCAAGGTGGATTGCTAATACCATACTGGCGATTTTTATTGTTCAACAGCAACCGACTAATTGATCTTAACGAGTTTCTTTGCAACATTTTTCAACTATACAATTATTGTTTTTTTTAATATAGTACAGACTGAGACTTTGACTAAAAACATGTGCTTGCATCAGACAGAAGCACGTGTGTTGTGTTGAGTGAAATGAGACTCACTTTTGCAGTTTCCACCACCACTGGAGGAAGTAAAAGTGGGATGAAATATGATGAGAAGGAGAAAGTCACGACAAAATGTATGCATTTCAAATGAATTATTAAGTATGATTATTCACGTGATGAATTATAAAGCCCAAAAGTAACACGATAGTAGTTTCGTAACAAATATTATTGTATTGACATCCGATTTAAAAGTACAATACAAATTAGAAAATTAACGCTTTCTGCGGAGTTCCAAGGTGTTACGGCGGCGCCATGCAGCACGACGACTTCCCCCAACAGTTTGGGAGTATCTGTGTCCTTTGCCAAGACCACGGGATTTTCGGTTAGCAGAAGTCTTTCCTCTCTGTTCACGATGTTTGTGAACAGAATTACAAATCCAGTTGATCTTGGGGTCTCTTCGGATTGCCTGATGAAAAAAGAAATACCATTCATAATTTTACGTGAACAATGGCCAACAACATATTTGATTGATTTGCTGAATAGAGGTATTAAAACAACGTACCTTGTGGGCAATGTCCACAAAAATTACTTCATAATATTTGTAAGATGAATCCTGAGCCACCCAGTACGAGTTCAATACTCTCATACCACCCAATCTCTTTCCAGCTCGAGACTACAAAATGAAAAACCTCGAATTTTATAACTGTCAACAACATGAATAACCACACAAACTAGTCTATTCTCTATTAAAACTTGTACACACCTCAGCAATTGCTTGAATGTTTCGAACGGGCTTGAGTTGGTTAATCCCGTGACCGGCTGGTTTACCGTAGGTGGCTCCCTTTGGAACTGGACGTTTACGACCACCTCGGCGGATACGAATCCGATAAATTACGAAACCTACGTACATACACATAATTAAATTATAAATTACCACCATCAGTACAAATCAGCATTACTGAATATATATGAACCCACCTTGCTTAGCCCGATAACCCAATCTCCTGGCCTTGTCCGGTCGCGATGAGTGGGGGCATCGAACCAATTTGTTAAGTTGACGATATTGCCAACAACGAATACGAAGCAGGTAGCGCATAACATCGCTCTGCTTTTTCCGGTACAACTCCTGGATATACTTGTACGCACCCATGGCGTGTCAGTTCTCTGAGGGAATAGAAATTAAACTTTTAAAATCTAATTAGTAACTGTGTCCGTTCAAGCACAAAGTAAAGTTTGAAGTTATTATCGGTCTTCTCAACGCGAAATTGAAATGTCAAAACAAAATAAGCAACTTCATTGACTCAAAAGCAGTGTAACGTTCGAAAATATGTAACCAAAACCTAACCAGCATAGTATAATTACCAAAAGGTTTTGATATTTGACGAAAATGTTCAGAAATTTACTTACCAGAAGCAACAGTGATGAAGAAGATGGTGAGTACAGGGCCGAGTGAATTCACGGTGAAGGCGTGCACGAGTGGGACCGGAGGCTCAAACTTTGCCGCACTGCTCTCCATCTCCTGCACCACAACCAGATGGCCACACAACCACTTTTCCTAAATCCCATCCTCCTTGTCAAACAAAGTGAGATGGTCAGTTTGGTTTTTGGACTGAAAAATTGAGATATTGGATGCTATTTTTGTATTCATAATTCGAAATGTCTCATGTAATATAGAGCTTGTGAACAGAATGTTTTTGCTGGATGCTTGGCTGATGATAATGACAAATTGATTTTATACAAAAATTTAATGAGTGATTGAGTTTGTATCATTATTTTATTTAATCTTTGCAATTTATTTAGTAACATCAGTCTTTGATTTTAATAATTTAATATTATACGAATAGTTGAGATTTGCCGTCTTAGTTTAATTTGGATGAATTTTGTGTACTACTTACCAATCTTCTAGACATCCTCTTAGTTGTGAATGTGATGGACTTTGAGTTATGCCATATAAAACAGAATTATCTGAAATTTCAAAATCAAATTGTTACTTTTATTAGTGCATACAAGAATTTCCTTGTCTAATTTTCAAATAGATAAACGAATAATGTCAGACATCCAAGGAAGGTTAAAGGTTTCACACGGTTTTTCAAACCTTTCGGGAATTTATCATCACGCCAATTTGATAAACTTTAAACAAGTTTATTCGCAGGGAATTAGAATAAAATTAGCGAGGAGAAGATGCTTACCACAATGTTTGTTGATATCTTTCAAAATAATCGATCCAGAAGAATAAAATAGTCGAAATATTAAAAAAATACTGAGGAAGAAAAACGGAGTGCACGCTTCACCTTCGAAATTCCACACTTCAACTCCTCTTCGTCCAATCCTTATACTGGCGGCACTTTCACCAGCCAGCGTGTCTAAAGTATAGAAAAATAGAGGACGGGGTTGCTGGCAGCTCAAATCAAACGTTCACGTTTTATTCTGTATGCAGGAAAGAACTGAAAAGAGGGCTGATTAGTGTTGATTAGTGCATATAAATAGTATTTATGTACTACTTGATAATATCTGTTAATGAGAGATTCGACAGTTAGTACATTTCTACTGACCAAATTCTCCTAATTTGTTTGTCAGAAAGATTATTTTTCTTCCACGGATCGTCACTGAACCCTATCCATTGTGCTATGATCAGTTGCTGGTAACTTACCAGTGGTAAGTAATGAAAATGAAACAAATATGGGTTGTTGCCATTTGTATGAAAATAGATAAGCAGCAGGATGAATGGGCTGACAATAATCTGTACAAATAGCAAGGCTATAAAATCCGGTTCTAGTTTTTAAATTTATTTTATTTTCGTCAGGCCTCAATGGCATCCGGTTTTGGTGGATAAGAAATAAGTCAAGACTGAAGATTAAGGGAGACGAGCCATTGAGCAAACAGCGACAATTAGAAGTCGAACCCTTTAAGTTGAAGCAACCTTTCAAGGGACTTTTAAGCAACCGAACGCAGCCTTGTTTGATATAGATAGATTCTGGCTGTCTATACTACACAAGGTAAGCTAGTGATGGCAGTTACTGAATGTACATTGTATTTATGCTTAAAATCAAATTGAGGTCCTTTAATCTTCGAATGTTACATCAATCTTTGAATAAAACCCCTATCTACTACTAATCTTCGAATGTTCATATTTTTACAGAGACTGATTGGTTAAAAACGAGGGAGGAGGAGGGAGGGAGGAACCGATACCTGATCTAACCTTATATAAATTGCAATATTTACTTGATTGATTTAGTAAATATTCAGTTTTATTAAATTATTTGTCAGTATGTTTAATGAAATAGACGAGATCACTCACTATCCAGACAGTGTTGTTAGTCTTTTTGCTGGGAAAAGTAAACTGGAAAAAAGGTTATCAGCAATAAGGACTCAGGCAAAACTCAAGAAAGAAATCTCCCAAGTGCTTGAATGTCCTGTCTGTTTAGAGCAGTGCCAAAACTGCTTGCCGTTCATATGCAGAAATGGACATCTAATATGCAGCCAATGCAAAACGAAAGGGAACATCAGCTTGTGCCCTACTTGCCGCAGTCAAAGCCTCAATGAATTTCTCGGTTTTAAAGATCTCGTTCAAAAGTACGACAATCTCCCTTGTCCTCACAGATGTGATCATATATCGGCGGATGATAATGAGCGAAAGGAACATCTCAAAACGTGCTTATCCGAGTTGGTGCAATTATTCATATAAATTAATATTTTGCTAATGATTTCCAAAGTTTGTAACTTACTGCTACATGTTTTAGTTGGAGAAAGTGTCCTCTACCTTTTTGTGACGATAAGAACCCGGGGCTGAACTACAGACAACATTTAATTAGTCAACATCCAGACCTCTGCTACTCGTTTGGGGGCCGAGTGGTAGTGGATCTGGGTGGTAATACTGATTTTACAAAGTTTCATCATACGTATTACGTATAGTTATTCTGGCTTCACACACATAAATATATCAAATATTTTTTATTGTAACAGGTGAAAATCCAAATTTGACGACTGTATTTTTCTTTGGTACCGACGACGACATCGTTATGGTCCATGTAGAGAGTAATTTTCGTTACTCTGCTAGTTATTTGAGTCAGCCAGCCAGTAAAAACTCTTCGTCTGTAAACTTGGTCGTTAAAAATGAAAAGGTATACCTTTCGGTAATTTAATTATGCGTTTACCAAAACTATTAATTTTGGCTCTCTATTAGTATATGCTTATGTCTCATATTAAATAATTAAACTAATTACAGACAGCCAAGCAGAAAACGTTTCAATTGTCCATTTCTAATGATGATGACCACGAAGGCGGATTAAATTTGTCATATCAAGATATAAGGGAATTAAAGCAAATTGGATTAGGAAAATGGACTATTGCTGTTCACATCAGTATCTCATCAGTAATATGTTCCAACAATTTTATTACTTTGCAGTACACTAAAGACGAATTTTATATCAAATATGAAATAATCGTATAATCATGTAAAAATTTCTGCAGGCGGACCTTTTAAAAAGCTTAAAGCATAAATCGTGCAGCCATGGTCGGGGACGATGTTTGCTCGTTGTAATACATTAAAAACTATTATTAACATTGAAATTGACTTTTTACAAAACTGTTTGATTTGATGTAAGTGCCCAGATCTGACCTGCAATAAACCATTTCCTTGCGATGCCTGTCATGATGAATGCAACCTGGATCACAAAATGAGCCTCGAAAGAGTTCGAGAGGTTATTTGTCTGAAATGTTGCTTCGTGCAGACTAAGCAACGAAAATGTGTGTCCTGCCATAGAGCGTTGGTTAAGGTATGACGAAAATATTAGTTAAAAAGTAAAAGGATATCATAGATTAAATTTAAAACAAAAATTTGAAAAAAAACAGACAAGCAAGGATGCTATTGGTGAATTGGGTCAAGAACTCCAGAAATTTCGCATCGGTGACAAACACATGTTATAAGATTTACAGTCCTTTGTATACTTTAATTTTAATACTTTAATTCCATTGATGAGACTGTCGTGTATGTACTCGACGTATCGTTCTAACATATCTATTGCCAAATTGTAACCCAATTCCATAAATTATTATGAAGTAGTATACTCTATGTAACTAAATAGGTCCCGACAAATAAATGTGCGTGAGAGTAACTACCTCACACTTTCTCCAACAAATCAACACGCACTTTATCATTCGCGTTGTTTTTTCTTTTTTGCGTCCTATTACAAGTCCCAACTAGGTCATACATTGATTATTACACAGGTTGTTGTAGTTTAACACGTGCAACCTTATTTCCACGTCTTTGAATGTCGACTGGCCAAACCTTATTTTACTATTTTTTCCCAAGTTCATAGACAAGCACTATTCATGCATCTCCTTCAGCGAGGATATCTAAATTCTGCATAGACGAAAATACAAATCAAGCTTTCTTTTTAAACATATTATCGATATACATATATATTCTGGAGTAATGTATATTATGAAATTTTATTGTTTTAGTCTGTTAATAATTTGTTGTTATCTGAGCAATTTGGCTTCGGGGTCAAATAAGACCACTTTCACTCCTACTCTATTCAACGATAGTTCACCTCAACATAATTTGTATGGGGTACTTTCTCTCGTGCTACTCAGATTACATGAAGTCCACGAGATTGGGACTGTGTTCCTCCCATGTGAGCTCAATTTGGACCAGAATTTGGGCAGAATTTTCTCCCGATGGATTATTCCATGTACTACGTTTTGTGGTGGTAATGCTGTAAATAACTGTTTTGTCAGGAAGATACTTAATTTGCTTGATTCAATAAGATTGCTATTGCAGATGGGAAAATTGGATTTACTCGGAAAGCTGAACGATACAGATTTATATCTTTAAGCGTCCAAATCCATATGCATCAAAGTCCTCGTTTGTTAGAAGGTCCCACATGGTCGATACAAAAATCTAAAGCAACATTTGGGTATGCCTTTTTTTACACATATCCTGGCAATCCTGGTCTGAAACTTAGCGTTGATTCCCATGATACACATACCTTACCAAATAGTCCTCTAAAACCACAACCTTGGTCCATAGACATAATTTTATCCTCTCTCACTGCACTGAATTGCTCATCGCTATATTGGGCCAATAATTCATATCTCCAAAAGTGTGCCTTAGATTGTAAAATTATTGCGAATACCTCTCGTGGAGCCGAAGATTCTGCTTTAAACTCATTAATATTCATTTCAAAGTCATTATCAGAAGAAGAGCAGTTGGAGTTGATTTTAGACCCCTTGACCTTAGCCAGCTGGTTGGGCATAATAACTGCATACCTAATTACTGTCATAATCTTTGGGACAATTAAATCAATTGCAGTAAATAACTTTGATGAGTCATTATATAGTTGTGTGATGCACCAAATGGTCAAACTGCTCTATAAAGGTGATCTAGAAACGGCTTTGTACAAATCTGATACACGAAATAAGTTTGAGCAGCATGACAAAAAGCTCAATAACATGTTATCTAGAACGGATATCGAGTCAGGCAGTAACAAAAATGTTACAGTACTACAATTACTAGTCGAGCAGGAGAACAATGAGCAGAATGACACAAAAGAAGCAGATGACGTTCATCACGGAAGGCCTTCAAAAGCGATTTTACACAGCACTATTCGAATCGTCTCATTTCTATTGATTGTGGCTTATGAGGGAAAATTATATGATGCTGTCACATTTCCGAAATCTGAGATAACCGGAACCGTCCAGGATTTGGTAACCTCTGGAAAATACTCTGTCAAAATGACAAAGGATGTCAAGTCTGGTAATTATTTCAACAAGTCCAATAATACAGCAGCTCTCAATAACTCGTGGGGTCATCAAGACAATGTTATGCATCATGCCTCCAAAGGTACAACAAAAATGGCATTTTGCTCCTATAGTCATAAGTATATAAATATGCATGACAGCGAAGGTAATAAAAATTTCCTTAAAAATTAATTGTCTTCCAGCTACGCCAGTTGAAATGGACATTTCAAATTGCATTGACTGGGTTGAGTCAAGTCCTGCCAAAAAATATGACAACCATGCGTGTGTTGGGTATGAGTTTGAGCTTCGAAGTCTACATAAATCCCATAGATTTGATAAACTGATAACCACAAAAAATCATGGGAATTATCGGATGGAGTTGACTGGCGAAAATCATAAGTTGTCCCGACGAAGGGGTTGGACCAAGCACGACTTGCTTCACAAAGTCTCAAAATCATCAAATAAAAGACTTGTAGCAGGAGCAACGTCTCTTCGAATCTCAAAATTCCCTTTTCGTCTCATGGACACGGGTCTCATGCAGCTAGTCCACACCACTTTCACCGACTCCATTTGGAGTGGGACACAAAGCCCTTCAAAGGTATTCACCATAAAAGACTACTCCGGACTGTTCCTGGTGTTCGTCGTGCTTTTAATAATTTCTAGCTTTTTATTCGTTTGCGAGTTATGTTACAAATGGTTGCAACCAATACTTCGAAGAATCCTCGACAGTTCAAACAGAGGTTTGAAATGCAGAGTAACGAGCCAAATGGCATGGAATTACTACAGTTGTTTGGTTGGAAGAAGGAAATTGTATAAAATCTATCATTATGACGAAGTCCATATAATTTGAATTATTTAGTTTAAATGGAATAAATAACTGTGGCTATGTTCCGGTAATAATAGACACAGATAATAAATATATGTACCTTACACACTTATCTAATCCTAAATATAGCAGAAGTATAAAGTGAAATTACAGTGTTATAATAATTTGTACCCTAATTTGGGGCCGAGACAGGGCTTATGGAAGTCATGTCCGTCCGTACACATGTAAAAATCACTCTCCCTTAGGAGGGGAGCTTGCGAGGTTGATAATAACAGATCTCGATGCCCTTTGGATATGTGATAGGGTCCTATGAGTGTACTAAAACCCTGAAGTGGTTTGACTCCATGGCCACATTTGCGCCCGCCACACCCACTCAAAAATGCCCAAAAAACGCTTCCACTCCAGTTTTCACTCACTCAAATCCACGCCAGAAATCCAATTTTACTCGGATTTTGAAATTTCTTTCACCATTACGCTCCCAGATAGTTGCTTTCTTCAATTCCATATCAAACTCAATTTTGCTGATGATTATTTCGCAGGCGTAATTTGAGTTGTTGATTACTACAACAATCCTCATTCAGAATTTCAAATTTTAAAAATACTAAAAATTTCGAAAAAATTGGGTTTGATATTGGATTGAAGAAAGCAACTATCTGGGAGTGTAATGATGAAAGAAATTTCAAAATCCGAGTAAAATTGGATTTTTGACGTGGATTTGAGTGAGTGAAAACTGGAGTGGAAGCGTTTTTTGGGCATTTTTGAGTGGGTGTGGCGGGCGCAAATGTGGCCATGGAGTCAAACCACTTCAGGGTTTTAGTACACTCATGAGACCCTATCACATATCCAAAGGGCATCAAGATCTGTTATTATCAACCTCGCAAGCTCCCCTCCTTAGTTTAACCAGTTGACTTGAGCTTTTACCTTGGAATAAAATCTAGAGAAGATTATTATCTGACTGCTCAAACGATACAAACAAATCCCAATCTCTGTTCATTGTTTAAGTTCATAATGATTTTCGAAATCCAGAAAAGTGGGAGTGATGAAAAAATAACTAGATCGGGCTATAGTAAGTCTGCACTATGTATTTTTTTACTAAAGTAAAATAAATCTAATTTTCTGTAGTTTGTATTTAAACATTATCATCTTGTATGTAATTCACCATTTCCTGAAATAAATACCTACGCATTCTATTAGCATATAAACTGCAAAATCACTGCTGATGCGTCCATTATCATACATTTATTTAGGTAGACACCAAGTGCAAGTAATAAATATATAAATTTTTGATTTCACTTACAACAAATTTTACCATGTACCACGTTAAATCGATTACTTTTATTTGTCTTGTCTCCCTTGAGATTTTGGTTGTGGTCACTGTAAGTTTTACCCATAAAAATATATTAACCTTTTGAAACGTATCAGCCTTTATATGATTTGGGTTAAATTACAAAGACAACCCCGCATCATCCATACCTCGAAGGGCGTGCTCATGGACCACGTAAATGCAATGGCAAAGAGATTCATATCTCGGAATCATACCCCATAAATGAAACGAAGCAAATCTGCGACGTGAAAGTAGCCACCAACTTAAGTGCAGAATTCAGGAAGAAACTAGACAACAAGCCAGAGAAAGAGGTCTGGAGGGATCATTTTCATGTGAGAACGAAGATTTACCAAATAATTTCGCCGACGCCTTCTTCATGCCATAAAAATCATTAATAAAATTGCATACTTATTTTATTCCCAGTGTATTTTAGTCTGTCAGATGCAAGAACTAGAACTGGTAACGTTACTTAAAATTCCTCAATTGGTCGTATTACTTGAAAATATCTATTGTCCATATATGTCTAGCTTAACGAGAAAGGAGAAATAATTGAAAGTGAAATCGAGGATTTCGTAAAAGACACATTCCCTTCAGAAGAGGCTTCCCTACTGATCCCTAAATTATTGGACTGTGCGAATCAATTTGGTAATGAAATAAATCATGCAAAAGTTTGTCGACCGAAATTGTGAAATTTTTTCGTACAGGGAAGCGAATGGACGTTTCTGGAGACTGTGAGAAAAATCGACTCATTTTTCAATGTGCTCGTTTGGCTGCTAGAGAGGTATTTATTTGTAGTCGTATGTATATAATTTGTCAATTTCATTTTATAATCGTAATTCGTGTGTCCAAATGTATCTACATAGGTGTGCAAACTGGTCGGTAATGAGAATGGGAATGCTACAACTGCTGGGCAGTAACGTTTTTACTTTTTGCTAACGAGATACAACATGCGTCACTTGGAATCTCATTTAGAAGCAAATAATTGTTAATTGATCTGGAACAAGTGTAGTAACTTTGCTTTAAATGTATAGTCAAGTTCATTTAGATAGTTTGAATACCAAATAAAAAATTATAAAAAAGTTTGATGGTAAAATTGCTTTGCCTCCCTCGTTATGTGCAAAATCTACTGCCCGAGCTAGTCATTTTTATCGTCTCTAATTTAATTTTGAAAACTAGTGAAGGTTGCAATGGACCCTTACGAGACCCATGACTAATATTTCACAAAACTGGGATCGTTATTGTGCATACATTTTCTCATATAAATAAAATTTCAAAATTATTAAATTAAATTTTTCCATGCAAAATTCCAAATTTTTCCTGCTAATTCAACAATCAGTGTGGGTTACCCTAATTTTTTCAAAATCGGTTCAGTGGTTCGTGTCCCTTAGTTTGTAACAGACAGACGGATGGGCAAAACAGGTACATAAGCCATTACTCGGCTAAAATTCGATATCATACAATTCATACATATACCCATTCCGACTTAAATGTTACTAAGTAATTATCACTTAATTTAAGGAGTAGTATCCATTGTATTGTTAATTTGACTTTGACTTATGAGATGAAACCGGATGTGATACGCATCATTATCTATTTATGTGTGCATATGTGTCTATCTTTGCATGCACTTTATTGATTAATTTTTAAGTCTCACAATAGCATCACAGATTATAAGAGGAGAATTAATGAACTAGATGAAGTATTTAAAGGAAACTTTTGTCGAATAATCATGTATTTTGTTCACGCCTTTCACACCGATAGCTAGCTACACATACCCCCTCGTCTAAAATGTATAAGCAGTGCAACCTGACCTTGTGCGCAACCCTTGTGATTATTACTGTTGCAGTATTGGTACAATTTCGAATTTATTAGCATATCATTTTTGACCATAAATTACATTGGAAATGTTGGATTACAGGCCGAGACAGAGACAAAAAAGAAAGCAAATGAGAACTCGCGAAATGTGACCTGCAAAGGGAAGCCTATGAACATGGCTCCTCTTATGGTTGGGCACAAGGAATGTCACGAAAAAATCTTTAACAAAGCCCCCTTGAACCCCAGAGAGCTCGACGACGAGGCACGCAAGGAACTGGAGAAACAATGGGCAGAGAACGAAATGGCAAGACTTATGATATATTGTATTATTTATGCAGATAAATAGTAGGAAATACGTCCATGTTGGCTGTTAATCTCTTTCAGTGTTACAATGTGTGCATTTGGAAAAAGCACGAAATTGTAGGTCGACTTCTCAAAGTTAAAAACATTTGTCTCTATCGATGCTTACAATAATGTTAAATACGTATGTATTATTAGATCAATGCTGATGGAAGTTATGACGAGGATGGAACTGATAAACTAGTGAAAGCAGTCTTCTCCATTGAAGTTCAAGCCGATCTGAAGAAATCAATTGATGAATGTGCATCTGAGAACAGTGAGACAATAATTTTAATATTTGCTTGTCATGCGCCTACATGTCGCAATAGGAAATTTTCTTAATTATACATTACAGGCAAGTCGTTCAGCATGGATAATAAATGCGAAGGATATAAAGGCTTCCTTGATTGCAAAATGGCCAACTACTTTCAGGTTAAGCTTCAAACTGCCATGAGAATTTTTACTGATAAATAAATACCTTGTGAAATTCATTTAGATTTGTGAAATTGACCCTAAAGGCCAACCAGGAATGTAACCACGGATCACATTTGACATTGGAATATCATCGTCATCTTTTATATAACATGTAATGCAAAACTGACTGACATTTTTTTTGCGGAAATGAGAAAAATTAATAAATATTCACAATAAATACGTATGTATAGAGAAAATTGTGTTGAACGTACGAGATTTTATATAAATTGAAATTGTGTCTTGTTTTAAACATTCGATAGTAAAATTATGACAATTCTCATACGAACCTTGATCTATTCAAAATTCACCTGCTCATCCAAAAATATTATTACATTATGTAAAAACAATACACTTTACATTTCCTTTATTAAAAATAAATACAGTAGATTCGTAGAATTTTCGGGTGTAATATTGGATTATCCACCGTTGGGCGTAGGTTGTACATACTACATACATACTTGCAGACAATTTTGTTCATGTACACATGTATGTAGCTATGTATATACCGGCATTAAATCTACTTCTCTTTCAGCTCCCAACCGATGTTTAAAATCAACAATTCTAATTGTTTTTTAGAAATGAATGGAGCAAACAAAGTACACTTCCGTTAATAATGTCAACAGATTTCATGCTCCATTAGAAACTTTGTGCTTGTCGTTGCCTAGAACGTTATGCATCTACTGACCCACTCTGAAGGCATTGTTTATCAGAACAATGACACACTTGTAATAAAACAGAAAAGTTGTTACTTTTCTTCGTGTCAATCAATATGTATCCGTACCAGGTCATATTGCTCATGTCAAATGACATGAGCGTTCTGAAGTATGCCTATTCCCAAGATGAGGATCACTTTGCCTTGGCTGCTTCTGGTGACCAACGCCTTATCCGCATATTCCTACTACACCGTGAGTACTCACAATATTTGCACATTTCCAAATATTTTAATATTGCCTACGTGTCCTCAATTACATAAATTAATACAAATTACCTTAAGCTCTGTATATTGATAATTTGTAATTTATAGCACGAATCGCAAAATAGGGAGCCAGCACTTGGCCGATTTGCTCGTGATGGTAATAACAAAACAAGACAAGTCCTACATATAATATTTCTGATATATATTTCTGATATATATTGGCGTCTAAATTTAATAGATGCCCCACCAGCAGCCGATGCTCCACCAGCAGACCCTGCGGCAGGTGGACCCAATTTAGACAGACTCAAAATGCTACAAGAAAAACTCAAGGCTGGAATGGCAGAAAAACAACTGACTGGACAGGTATTACTTCAATCAGAGGCCCATGTTTACCAATTTATTGCCCGTTCTTGTGATTAATATGAAACCCTTCGTCCCCAGACTGACGAAAATTCGAAGGCAGACGCTCTGGTGGCTTCGCTGGCTGCCCCCATCGCGGATGTGGGAGGGAAGAAGGACGACGACGAGGAGGAGAAACCTAAGGCCAAGAAGAAGAAGAAAAAGAAGAAGACGCCGACACCAGATTCGGACGAGGATGAAGCTCCGGCGGCACCGCCACCCCTACCGCCAGCCCATCGCCAAGGGGGAGGGTTGGTGGGAGGCCTGCTGGGCGGACTCTTAGGATGACCATGACTAACTAGCGAATTCTGATATGATTCTTATTCTCCACGTTGTAAATTTCCACACACCGTAGTTGAGTTAGTTTTAATTGGCTATAAATGGATTATTTATGTACATTGATTGCGTTGCGGTGCCTTCACTTTCCACTTCTTTAAAATAAAGGACTTGGAGAAAATTTGTTCTGTGAATTCATCATAATTCGGATTCAACAATAACAAATGATTGCATTCGAGCATATGCACATATAATATTGTTATGTATACATGCAGTTTATCATATCAGCATACAACGAGTCGAAGGAAAGTAAGATTTTCGATAAAATGTTCCTTATAAGTATGAGGCAACTTGAGATTCGTTGTATATTTTGATTAGAACTTGATGCCATGATATTAATGAATAATGTTGAAGACAACTAAAGCGATACAATAGACACTTTTTAAAACAATCAGAACAATTTGAAGATACACAACATCAATGAATGTCGAGAGCGACCTATAATTATGGTAGTACATACGTTAGCTGCACAGAATTCGTAGACTATATATATCTACTTACAACTCTCTCTTACTTATCAATAATAATGGGAAATATCAGTTTTCTTGCTGTGCTCTTAATTGGAGTCGTGCTAGATAAGGTATGTCATTTAAAGGAATCATAGTTTTAAAATCCTTCTGAAAACAACTTTTATTTTTGAGTGAGTCGTGAAGACAAAATGACTGAATAAGTAATTTATGTAGTGAGTGAGATAGCACGGTGAAAGTGCACAAACAAATTATTATAAAAATATTCCCCTGCAATTTATGTTTAGATTGTTCCAACAAAACAATTTCGCCGATTTGCCCGTGATTCAGAGCTATCAGGAAACATCCCTGTACCGGATTTACTATTTTTCAATGGTGAAAGTGAAAGCGATTCTCGCTTTCCTCGAGACGATGAGGAGACGGCGACCACCGCTTTACCACCAACTCCACCCCCTCCTACTGAAGAAGACATAAAAAAGAAGCAGGCACAGGACGAAGCTGATGCGGCGGAAAAGAAACGGCTAGAAATCATAGAAGTACACAAAAATCCAAGCAATTCTTGATTTAACTATGGACTAAATTGTGTACACACTTTTCAAATTGAAAATTTCAATTCACAACTCCTTCATAGGGTTTCCGCAAACAACACGCGGAACAGTTGGCAGCATCAGCAGAAATCCGATTGACGACCACGACACCCACACCCACAACTCCGCCGCCCCCACCTCCACCTCCACCAGCGAAGGCAGAGGAAAGTGAGGAGGACGACGACGACGAGGAGACAGAAAAGCGAAAAAAGGCCAAGAAACATAAAAAGAAGAAGCCGGCTGCTCCTCCCCCTGTCGTCTCCGATGGCTGTCACGGCTTGTTGGGCTGCCTTTTGGGATGACAACATCACCCTACGACAGAAATCCTCATTTATACCCAAATATTTTCAGCATTGTTTAATTGATTTGCATTAACAAGTAGAATAAAAGGCATTTTTGTTGAGAATATTGTTGAGAAATCGAGGCCGGGGCAGAGCGAGTCGGTGAGAGTGTGGACAGCGAGTACCAAACCGCATTCTGGTGGAGGGCAACCCAATTCAACGAAAAGCCCCGCGTCCTCGCACCAATGCCGCCTCTCTTCTCTCTCGGTCTTCGTACTCAGTTGTCATTTCCCTTGTTGTGAGGTCGGATAGGCGCAATTAACTCCTATCCGCCGAATCTCGGTGTTTTTAAACCAAGTTGCTAATTGTAGCAAGGCACTTATCTTAACTTATTCGTTCGAGAAAGAGACGGCTTCAAGCTGGAAGACAAAATGAGTGCGGGTAAGTCTTCTCCAAAGTATTATTCTCTAATAGAAATAATAGCTCTATTCGTTAAGTTAAGTTTGTTTCAAATGTTTTGCAAGTAATTTAATAGCAAATGGTTAATGGAAGGGATTGCTGTAGGTGGGGCTCCGGTCTATGACGAGGCGGTGGAGGAGCGTGTGATAAATGAAGAGTACAAAATCTGGAAGAAGAACACTCCTTTTCTGTACGATTTAGTGATGACCCATGCCCTGGAGTGGCCCTCTCTGACCGCTCAGTGGCTTCCGGACGTTGTGAGGTTGGTAACAACTAAACCTCATTGTTGTTAATATATCTATATAATAATCTATTCGAATATTTGATAGGCCGGAGGGAAAAGACTATTCTATTCACCGATTAATTCTGGGAACTCACACTTCGGACGAACAAAACCATTTGTTGATTGCATCCGTGCAGCTACCCAACGAAGGTACGGTTCTCAGTTTATTGAAGACATGTGGGATTGCTATATTTACATAACATTATTATTAATGAAGATGCAACGTATGATGCTACTCATTATGAAAGTGAAAAGGGTGATTTTGGAGGATTTGGGTCCGTATCTGGGAAGATTGAGATTGAAATTAAAATCAATCATGAAGGTAGAACAATTAAATACGCTTTCATAATAACATTAATTAATTATAACAATATTTACCAAACTGTCTTCATTAATGATGTATAGGAGAGGTAAATAGGGCTCGATACATGCCGCAAAATCCTTGCGTAATTGCAACCAAAACTCCTTCGTCGGATGTATTAGTCTTTGACTATACTAAACACCCTTCAAAACCAGACCCAAGCGGCGAATGTCATCCAGACATTCGACTTCGTGGACATCAAAAGGAAGGGTAAACAAAAACAAAATTAACAATGTATACTTGTGCTTAATTGAGTTGGAGTTACACATTTCTTTAGAGTAAAAAATAATGACTATTATGATTATGATTGATTTATAGATATGGATTATCTTGGAATCCAAATTTGAATGGACATTTATTGTCGGCTTCTGATGACCACACCATTTGCTTATGGGATATTAATATGACTCCAACACAACAAGGGCGGGATCGTATTATTGAGGCAAAGACCATTTTTACTGGTCACACCGCTGTTGTTGAAGATGTAGCTTGGCACTTGCTTCATGAAAGTCTTTTTGGATCTGTTGCTGATGATCAGGTTTGCTAACCTTATTACTTTCTTGTAATATATACAATTGCATAGCAATTAGAATACCTATTTAATGAATATCTACTTTTCATAATCAGAAATTGATGGTGTGGGACACTCGGTCAAATAATACCAGCAAACCAAGTCACACTGTGGACGCACATACAGCTGAAGTCAATTGTCTCTCTTTCAATCCGTATTCTGAGTTCATTTTGGCAACAGGAAGTGCAGGTATCAACCCCAAATTACCAAATAGTTCACCATATCTATTTCACATCATCCACCGTTTGGAAGGAAGCTTGGTCATAATTTATGTGCTATTTTTTTTAGATAAAACTGTAGCTTTGTGGGATCTTCGAAATTTGAAATTAAAATTGCACTCGTTTGAGTCGCACAAAGACGAAATTTTTCAAGTTCAGTGGTCACCTCATAACGAAACTATTTTGGCTTCGTCCGGAACCGATAGGAGACTTCATGTGTGGGATTTGTCTAAAATTGGAGAAGGTAAATGATACCAACCATTAATTATTCCAACTTTAGAATAATTTTTGTTTTTATTACGAAAAGAACAAAGTCCTGAGGATTCTGAAGATGGGCCTCCAGAACTACTTTTCATTCATGGAGGTCACACTGCAAAGATATCTGACTTTTCGTGGAATCCAAATGAACCCTGGGTTATTTGTTCCGTCTCTGAAGACAACATAATGCAGGTGCGTATCTATTATCATCAATGATGATTCATCATTATTGTTTCTTTATGTCGCAGTACTCTGAATTCTCAAAGATCACGTTTGTGCGAGTTATTTATGTATGGTTTATTACTTCTAGGTTTGGCAAATGGCGGAAAACATTTACAACGATGAAGATGCTGACGCACCCGGTGGGGGTGCTGGAGCAAGCACTGGAGGAGCTGGCGCTGCCAGCGCCTCAGCGGAAATGCTTGAAAATTAAAATGATAAATGCAGATTCCAAGATACCAATTACCTTTTGTTGTGCTCGTTTGTATTGTAAATAAGTAAGATAAGATTTTTGCGTAAGAGACTTGTATATATGTGTGAGTGTTGAAAGCTGTGAATGAAATAGCAAATTGACGGTTAAAACTAGCCGCTTAATTCTGTACAACAAACACGGAATATTTAGTGGTTTAGCTTTACAATTGTTGTCACTGCATAATTCTGAAAATGTTTAATGTTAAGTTAATTTTTTGCTATTGTACGCCACACTTTTTGAAACAGTAAAGATAATAATGATTAATATTTATGTGCATATACTTCACTCAGTTAATTAAATCGTTCTATCTTGAATTAGGGCTGGATTCGAAACTCGTTGCAAACATGGAATGCTCCTGTATTAAGGATTTTGCATGCACGCATTGGCAGTGCATACTTAAATATGAAAATAATATGAAAATGTACTCGAGTTCACGTACATGCATCTTGATTTATAAGCAGCATTAAACTTTATTGAAAGATTTTACAAATGATCAATTCTCACTGTACTACATATAATATTAGTTTGTTTAAAATTATGACCTTTATCATCATAAATCGTTCGAAACTCGGTTTAATAGACATCTCAGTTTGACTGATCCTTCAATAGCCCACTTTCAGTTTTGAGAAGAGCTCTTGGGTTTCCTCTACTTGACGAATCAAAATGGACGTGTTGTAGGCACCCACTCGCGGATCGATAGACTTTGTGATTATAAGTGAAGGCGAAAATTGAAGCAGGATTATAAAATATGAGAACACGGTTCCCACAATCTAAATAAGAAAGACATGCGTGCATAAAGATTGAGTTGTAAAATCCAGAGATTTTGATGGTATTTGGACCCGAAGTAGATATACTCACAGTTACTAAAAATCCTTTATCCAGCGAAAAATAGCCTACAATTTTAAAATGATAAAATTATTTGTAAAGTACATAAGTGGCAAAATATTTGTTTTAATTTCATGCCTCCACCACTCAATGCTGTTTCGAAATGACCCGTATAACTTGTGTACATGCTCATTATCTGAAATTATTTACGAACAAAGACATTGCATTTTTCTTGGATGCCCACATGCCTTCTTGGCAAGGAAACATTGAATAAATGTGCATATATCTGCCGAACTCTTATGCCCTGGCTACACTACTGTCGTAATATTCTAGAGTTTACTGGTAATATGGGAAAATGCATAAGGCCAGCTACATGTGTAACTTGCAACCAATTCAGAGTTTACTCTAGAGTTTTACTAGTAAAATTTCACTAGTAAAACTCTAGAGTTCAGAGTTTTACAACGAACTCCAGCTACACCAATGTGCTACTTCAGTGTTAAACATTGAAATTTTATTAGGGATTTCTTATTTACTGACGAGAGTCTACTTATTTTTCTAAACATTAATTCTTCGTCTTCATTTAATTTATGAGAACATTTAAATCAATGGAGTCGCAAATAATTATGGAAGTCGTTGGTAAAAAGGCAAATCATTTTTCGCAAGAAGAGAACCTCGCATTAATACGGATTTGGGGATCGCGAACTTTTATTTTAAACACAATTATTATTTTTTAGATGGTAAATTTTTAAAAGTCCCACCTCTGAGAAATAACTCTGAGATTTGGTACCCTGAAAATTACAACGGTACAAAATGCAATGTAGCTGGAGTTTTTTTTTCAGCGTTAAACTCTAGAGTTAACTCTGAAAAAATTTACGACAGTAGTGTAGCCAGGGCATTACAAAGTATAACTCGTCATCACTCATTGAGCCCATCATTCCTCGTTGTCTCAAAACTGCCAAGCCGTCCATTGCCTTCACATAGATAAGTAATTCCATTAATTACATTACACTCCTCCCTGGTTAAAAAATGTAAATCAATTGCTCATTTACCACTTCTCCCACTTCTGCTGCGGCAAGGGACACAACGACCAAAATGGCAAGAGAATGTATCAAGTACAAAGTAATTATTAATCCGTCCAATCGTCGTGCTCCTGAATATCGACACAACTATGAAAATTTTATATTCGGAGCATAGAAAATTTCAGTATTACTTATTCTTAACCTTGAAATTCTTCTGACCCTTGGCTCCTGTAAAAGTAGTACACCTCGAAGATTATGCTACAAATCTGTCGATAAATCGTGGTAAGGTTCATTTTGTTGTAATGCACGCGATCAGATAATTTTGCTACCTGTGAAGCATAATATGACTCAATAATATTGGCGAAAAGAGCATCAGCCCCTTCCAGAAGATCCAGTATGCAGACGTGATCTTTAAACAAAAGAGAAAATTCGGTTCGGTCCACAATCTTTTCCGAACTTCGAAACTTGTCTTCGCCTTTATGACGAAAAATTAGAGTGAGCGAGAGATACGCAGGATTACAATTTTTAGTTTCGTTCGACCCACCTTTTAGAAGGACTCTTTGCAATCGAGTATTCCATACGGCAAATGAATTTCGCAGAAGGCGACAGATGAGCACAAACAAGAGAATGAAAGTTTTGGAGCAGATTAAAATGTAAAAAAATAGAAATCCTCCAAAACCTCGCAAAACCCAAAAGTTTGAATGGGTGTGAATTCTGGGGTAAAAGCAGCGAACACAAAGCATTCCGAGAATGGCTGGTCCTATACATAAAATCAATTGTAGTTTTTAATACCCTGACCTCTGATCTCCATTCAAGCCTATCTGACCTCCTGACGCCACCGGAGCAAAACCCATGGCGCAGACGACAAAGAAAATTACAAGAAATCCACCATAACAGGAAAGAACAATGGTCATGTAACGCTTCACCCCTTCAGCCACGTCGATGTTAATAATTTCCACAATTCTAGTGTTTCAAAATAATTTTTTACACAATAAATCAAGTTTGAAAATATGTATGCACATAAAAATATTTAAAATTATTAACTTACTCGGTCCAAAATGTGAAATAGCTGGCTGCGAAATGTCGCATCTATGGTTCAGTATTTCTTAATCTTACTTGTTTTATTTAATTTTTTAGTATATATATATATAAATATGGAGGATTGTAATGCAGGATAATGAGTATGCACATAAATACCTTGAAAAACTGCCAGCTTCCAACTGTTGCATGACACAGGGAAGAAATGAGCATTATTAATGGAATTATATTTCTTCGTAAAATGTACAGTTCTTCGAATCTGTAATTTCCAGTTCGGATTATTCTGGATGAGTCGTTGGGTGGATTTGGATGAATTGGAGGATAATCTAAAGCTGAACCAATTGTGTTCATAAAAAATAAGGCGGCAGTTACGGCAACGATTGTGCTGGTAATTATGAAGCCGATGGCAGGAATTGATTTCTTATTGTAATGGAAAATGTATCCTTGTGCCGTTGCTGAGCCCTGGAGGGGAAATCGAAGGAAAGCGTAGCCAAATATTATGTAAGGGGTGAAGCATCGGTAGACTTTCTCCGCCAACAATTTCTTCTCATTTTCATTTGGCTTCATTTTCGGTTCTTCCGCAGTAATTGATGCTACGCCACTTTTTCTCCAAGTAATTTCAGATGCTGTCGCAGTAGTAGCGAATATTGATGGATCTACAGGAGCAGGGTGACCAATAGAAGTTTTGCCCCCTGATTGTTTTCAATTAATCATTATGTTAGATTGCAATGTCAAAATTTTCTGCATAACTGCATACCTTCAGTTGTTTTTAGAGAATCCTTTGCCATTTTAATATCTGGTCACTTAGGATTAGTGCGAGTATCAGATGAGATTTGCATATATAGCAATATTGTTTATTGTTGTGCTTGACGTTTATATCGCACGATTGCTTGACATTTAGTTACTCAGCGTACATAAGTGTAATAGGTGTTTAGTAAGGCACTGCTAATACTAATATTTTAGTAATTGTCAAGCAATCGTGTTTACATCCATTTCGTCAACTGGAACCACTAGTAATTACGTAGTATTTTATTATTTCGTCAAATAATATTGGTGATAAAGTATTACAGTACCGTTGACCATCTTAGCAACGCTTCTTTATCCATCTACATGAATGAACCCTCAAATGAAAGATCAAATATTGAAATATTGGATATGGATAGAAAGATTGAAATCAAACTTTATAAATACTTTGTAAAAGTCAAAGTTCATAAACTCCTTTGACTTAAATTCCCCCATTTCAATTCCGGCTTGGCTACTGTTGACAAATTTATGGTAAAACCAAGGTCCTGAATTTTACTTAGTTACGTGTCTACATAAGGTTAGCTCATTTGATGGTAAATTTTGTGACCGAGAGCTTGGGACGAGTTTGGGATTATTGTGGGGAAAAAATTTGTTGTTACGTGAAGTTAAGGTAATTTTATAAAGTAATGATGATGATTTCTGGTGGTGGTGGTGGGGAAAATTGATGATTTTTTAACACATTTCTTGAGCACGTTGTCGTCTATCGTTTTTAATATAAAAAGACAATGGGGAGAAATTGCGCAATTTCAAGTTGTCCAAACAGAAAAGGAAAGCCTTCTCATAAAGTCCACGCATTTCCCAATGCGAAACATGCTCTCCTCCGGACCACTTGGATTTCCAGAACAATTGGAACATCATCCCTTAAAATTGACAACTTCGGGGTCTGCAGCCGTCATTTCTCTTCAAATGATTATGTAGCAGGTCAGGTCACCGGAATAAAAGCTAAAGGAGGTGCCCCAGTCTTAAAGTCAATTGCAATACCAACTCTGAATCTGTGGAACAGTCCAACTGGTATTATAATTGGATTATTTATGTACTTTATCATAATACATAATTGTAATCCATAATATTAGCATAACTACAATAGATATATAAATGAAATTCTTTATAACATAAATATCTCCTCCAGTTTGTGTCCTTTTGGAAGGGATCCTAAAATGGATGCTACATTCCCTCTTTGAACAGTGATACTCATTCTCTGCAATAAAAAGGATGTCGCCCTCTTCTCTTCTGTGATGTTTGTGATTCTGGACCCGATTTCTTTAATAAATGACAAGCCATCTTTACCCCAAATCCCTGTTGTTTCGATGGCTATTGGGACAAAAAGGAAACTGTCCATAAGTTGTTCATATCTTTTCTTCTTCCGGTCCTCTGCTTTCTCAGCTGCTACTCCTGGGCGAATACTAGTTTGTGGGAGGTACGATGGTGCAAATGTATCGGAACACGTGAAGTCCCACACTACCGATTTTCCTCTTGCCCATGGAATAAGTGTGAGACCATCTGGACGTTTCCCATCTTCACGGGCACACCCGGCTGGTTCTTTAATTATAGAGACTCCTGCAGATCTGAGGGCTCTGGCGATGACATCGTTGGCTGCGGCATGACGGGAGTGACGTCCAGCACTATTTTTGCAACTGAGACCATGATAGCCTTTCGTGGACACTTGTTCACCACAAGAACATTTGTGGGGCTGGCAGATGTCACAGCCTAGTCGAAGAGCGGCGGCGATGCGAAACGTCTCATTAGGAAGATGTGTGCCGAGTTGAGGAGAGGGGATAGCGTTGAGCCACGCTCCAACATTGGGTTGTGACATGGCGTGATAGCGGGCTTTGTCTTCTAATGTAGTCGCATTAGTTGTGAGGTGATTGATTACACCTTCCTGTTGTGGTATTTCCCATATTGCCTGGATACCTCGTATCTCGAGTGGAGGAAGTGGCGATGAACCAAGTGATTTCCAGCGTTCCTCTCCTTCTTGGATGGCGGTATCGATGCCATGTAAATGTGGTGGAAGTAGGCGTTCCGCAAGAGGCAGGGAGCTATAGATAGACGCTAGAAAGCACGGAATCGCCACATCTATAGCGTGTCTGACCCCAAGACCACCTTTGTTGACGGGTAGAGAGGACTGTAACCAGGATTGAGGGGAAAGGGAACAGTTGATGATTCCCTCCATAGCATTTTTTAATTTGGCATCATAAAGAGTAAGGGCGTCAAATCTTCTCCATGTCGGTGCACAGCGGAGAAAGTATATTAGACGAGGTGTTGAGATGGAGGCACGGAGAAGGAAAAAGGCTGAGTGGGAGGAGAGTTTGAGTAGCCGCGTGCTAATTTTTTCCATTTCCTCGGTTTTGGCTCCTAGTATTGTAGGAATGGCTTCATCGGTGAGTGGGACACCTAACAGCATAGCACTTTCAGGAGAGATCTTTTGTATCCCCGGAGCTGTTGAACGAAATAGCTCAAAAATTTCGTCACGAGTTTGGTCGTCGACTACACCCAGAATTCCCACTTCACATTTTGTAGTGTTAAGGTGCAGACCGACTTCTGTCCCCATACGTGTGATGGTTTGCATTGCCATTAAGACTTTCTCCGGCGAATCAGCAATGGTTGAGTCATCTAAGTACCACATATTCAGCTCTGTGTCAATCAAGTACACAATTGGTTGGATCACGAGAGCGTAGAGAGCTGGTCCGAGTGGATCACCTTGTTGAACCCCACAAAGGGAGGAGATGGGTGTTCCCGCGAAGAAAATTTCCGAGGGGGAGGAGTAGGCCTGGCTCACGAAACGGTAGAAATTTGGGAATTTTTCTCGAATGATTTGGAGAAGTGTGTCTCGTCGGATTTCATTGAAAGCATTACGGAAGTCCAATTTTAAAAAAGCCTTGGGGCTATCATGTGAGTAATTCCAGTAAATACGTGCTGCGTGGGCTGCAGCTTCAGCGCCTCCTTTAATCCCCACTCCTAGTTGATGAGGGGAGAAAATCTCGACCAGAGTAGATGACATACGGGCGACGGCAATTTTCGAGATGAGACGACGCTATGTATTGCCGACAGCGACAGAACGAATGCCCCCAGTTTTCTTTCTAAGTGCGGTCATGGAAGCCCCGAAGAAGATTGGGCAAATAGATTTTGGCACGTCTCCCCTGAGAACAAGATCTAAAAATTTTAGCATCGCGTTTAGTAAATTGGTCGCAGGTTCTCCATTCTCTGAGATGACGAGGTCCTTCAAAATCTGAGGGCGAAGAGAGTCAAGTCCTCCTGCCGATCCTGGAGCGAAACTAGAGATTGCGATGAGGACTTCTTTGGGATCAACAGGGGCCAAAACTTCTGCCTTGTCCGGTGCGTTCGGGAAATAAGTTGGCTCTGGATGTGGGGGATGCTTAGTGATGAGGGCATCCAAGGTTTCTTGATTATTTGGGGCAATTGTGTCATCATAGGTCAATAAACGAATTGCACCCCGTACATCGCCGTCTGCCAATTTTGCTTCCACCTTCTTTGCAATAGTTTCTTGAGGACGTGAGGGTTTGGCGAATTGTGGTCGTGGTCTCGAGGGTGTTACAATTTGGGTTATTGACCACTGCAGAACTCTTGATTTCACCCATGTTGTTAAATTTTTAACTTTGTCAGATTTGGTGGGAACAGGGACGACTGCGTATGGAAACGAGAAAAGTTTGAACCATAATTCCTCCGAGTTTGTGGTGGTCACTTCCTCTATTATTTTTGCAAGGGCTTTAGCTACTTCCATCCTTGCACCTTTTGGGACTCTTCTCAGCGTGGGTACTGTATTCTTCAGTTGCGATAACTCAGCACCCCAATTTCTTGGAGCATGTGGGAGTAGTGGTGGTTGATCCTTCCATCTGATTCCAATGTATGCGTTGGCTGCGCCTCGAGTCGGGGGACGAGAAAATTTTGTGCTGGGGAAGAGTTGAAGAATATACTTTCCCACGGTGGCATCGACAACTCTTCCTTCTCCCGATGTTTGAATATGATGGGCGTAACGTGCGACTATTTCGGATTTTGGAATTAGGCCGAGAGGATCTTCAACGAGGTTGGATTTCAGCCAATATTGTGTTGTGGCGATTATGTGCTTTTTCTTGGTGGTAGTCGTTGTGTTGAGGGATGATGGAGTGACTTGAGATTGTGAAGATGTGACGGATATGACGCAAGTTGGACAAAGCCATTCCTCCTCCGGTATGATGACCACGGCGACACATGCTGTGTGATACCATTTCTGGCAGTGGTCGCATAGTATCCATTGGTCTGTGTTGCTAGCTCCTGGGCATGTGGATATCGGGCAATGTTGGTCATCATGGGTGGAGAGATTGGCAGCAGTGGTGGAAGTTGGTGTCATCATTTCATTCTCTATATTTTTGGGCGTTTTATTTTTTTTTTTGAAAAATTTATTATTTATTATAATAAAATTACTTATAATTTCGATGCATTAAAGGTGAGACACAACTGCCTGATACGGATCGTATGCGGATTGACATGGGCGCACCCATATGTATTGAATTGGATCGAATAGAAATGGGTGGCACAGAAATTCAACAAACCGTGGCGAACGTCGCAATAAATAGCGATGTCACCTCAAATAATGGTATTTATTACCACTATAAATTATTTTTCGAACTCTAATTTACATAATACATATTTGATGTTAATTACTAGAACTGCAGCTTCATATTGAAATTGCCAGACTAAAATCGGAGATTCAAGAATGTAAAACGGCCCTTGAGTCCAAAAACAAAACCATACGGAGTTTACGTGTCCAGATACAGAGAATAACAACAGAATAACAGAATAACAAGTGCAACTATCCGTTCCCGTTCATCTCAACATTAAAAAGATGGTTGCAAGAGGTCTCAATTATACCTGGGAAAATTATGACTCCAGTCATGGATGTTATGAGAGCTAAGTTTTTGGAAAAGTCAGAAAGGGAGCGAGTTTGCGTCCTAGCCTTAGATGAAGTGGGCATCAATAAGCGTTTCGTGTATGACAAATCCGCAGACAAAGTGTATGGGGGACGAGACTGTGTTCCAGTTATCACTGCAAGAGGCTTATTTTCTTCCTGGAAGCAGATCCTCTACTACGATTTAGAAAACAAGACGACAGGCCAGCACATAACAGAAGCAATTAAAGCATTGTTTGATATTGGACTGATTATTATTATTATTGTCGCCTTCGTATCAGACTTGGGCACGAAAAATCAAGGACTATGGAAGGAGTTTGGGATAGGAAGAGTAAAAAACGGTGAAATAGGAGCAAATCATTTTCCACATCCGAGCGACCCAACTCGAAATGTGTATGTTTTTGCCGATTTTCCCCATTTAATTAAGCTCTTGAGAAATTTATGAGAAGGCTTTCCTTTTCTGTTTGGACAACTTGAATTTGCGCAATTTCTCCCCATTGTCTTTTTATATTAAAAACGATAGACGACAACGTGCTCAAGAAATGTGTTAAAAAATCATCAATTTTCCCCACCACCACCACCAGAAATCATCATCACTACTTTATAAAATTACCTTAACTTCACGTAACAACAAATTTTTTCCCCACAATAATCCCAAACTCGTCCCAAGCTCTCGGTCACAAAATTTACCATCAATTGAGCTAACCTTATGTAGACACGTAACTAAGTAAAATTCAGGACCTTGGGTAAAACTATTAAGATGGACGAACAACCTCATCCGTCAAAAGTTGACAACACTGATGAGCAGCAGCAACCTAGATCATCCCATGTTTTTAAACCGGATGAGACCGGTACCTCACGCACAGCACAGCACACCCGATTATTTGGGTCCTTTTATCAATTTCTTATTTTGTCTATTCCTCCAGGTCATGACGATGAAAATGTTTCTGAGGGGCGACATCGACCTTCCAGAATGAAAACGCATGAACAGGAGTTGGCAGAAGCCGCAGAACATCGAAAACTTTGGGTAAGTTAAAGTTAAAGTTGGCAATATGTTTGGTTGAAAGTATGACTAATTAGGAGTTTATTTCGTTTCAATTTACGAACATCCCCTTACTCAAAAAATATAATAATTTTTTTCAGGCAATGGCCGCTACGTCGGTTGCTAATTTGATTAAAGAGTTTTCAGATAAACCAATTCCTAATCTAGAAGCTCTCCGGCAATCATTTCAACCATCAAGTACTAGAATTTTTTCCACCCCATTCTCATTCAAGGTCTAAATTGATAAGATATATACTTAAATACTGGAAAATGGGTTTGTATACATAGCACCAGACCAGTGGTTGAAACGAATGGAAGCGAGTAATGAGGATGCCATGGCAGAACAAGATTCTTCCATGGAAGAAACGGACACCGAAGCACCCGTCGAGCTGTTTTACGATATCGATGGTTTGCCTTCATAAGATGGAGAATTTCGATATAACAATTTTACGATGTTATCACAGTATCGTTAAATACGATTTGTTTTATTTTAGCAAACGACGACGATCTGAAAGCTTTCCTGGGAGATAGTGACGAAGAAAGTGTAGTCCAACAACCAAGCGTTTCACAAACGACAGCGATATCCAAGCGAAAAAGCACTATTGCACCAAAGAAGCTTGTAGACAAAGTAATATCAGCCGCAAGGAAGTCATTGGCTCCGATAGCTCAAGCTACACGAGAATCGGAAGATGCAGATCTTGAATCTCCACCAGGATCAAAGACAGTGGTCACAAAACGAGCCAGTTCTACTTCTGCTGTTGACGATGGAAGTCAGCATGGGTCGCAAGTTCGAATTTCTGGGACCGACGGGCGCAGGGGCACAGCAGACTCTGCAAATGAAAAACGGGGTAAGTGAAAGCATTCAACTTTCACTCATTTTGTTTCATAAATGTCGGTTAAATTTTTTACAAGTTTTAAACTTTTTGATACAAAATTTCACAACTTTTTATGACGGCCTTGAATAGAAAGTGATCGACAACGAACCAGCGCTCTTCAACCAGTTGCGAGCTATGAAGACGACTGGGATTTCGATGAAGTGAAGCCCAGTGAAGAGACGATGGTTGAGGATGATGGGGATGCTTTGTTCCAAGTGACAGACGTTGACTATGACATTAATGAACTTGCAAAGGGGCTGGAAAGTCTTCTTGACGAGTGAGTTTCTGATGAATATTAATGAAAATAGTATCAATTCACTCTAACTTAAATAACACACCAACACAGTTTGCAACTGGAGGCTCGAATAACGGAGCGTTACAAATATAAGCTGGTGAACAAATTTAATCTTTTGCTCCACGCTCTTGTCTCCACTCACGACCGAGAATACGAGATAATGCAACACCTCCAAACGAAACGCAAAATATTGAACGTTCTGAACAACTTTGTCAAGACCGAGGTAGAAATGTCCACCAAGGTTGTGATTTCCGAGGAGAAAAGTGAGGAAGATCTTGACCAAGCAATGGTGCTTGACTTTCACAAGGGGGAAAGAAAGTCGGGAGACGACGGGGCGACTGAGGACACAGGAAAGCACGACGAAGGACTTTCCATTGAAGAAATGAATGCAAGCACGATTAGAGACACTTTACTCCGGCAAAAGAACAAGTATGGCGAAAAATAATGACGCTTACTTTACTTATTTATTTTCATGCATTCAAAAGGTGGAAAATTCTGCTTTTGACTAAAATTACCTTATTGTTAGATTGGACGTGCTTGAAGCTATTAAGAAAATTCATGTATTGAAATTGAAACAAAAAGAGTTTGAAAGAACATTGTTGACACTGCATTATAGCAAAATGGTTAAACCCACAGATCTTCACAAGGAAATCAAAGTGTGGAATATTTAATTTATTTAGTTAAGTTGGAGAAATGAATGCAAGTTAATGTGAATATAACTTTGGGCTTTTATAGGAAGCCAGACGACTTGTAAATGACCTGCAATTGGACATTTCGTCATTACATCAAGAAATGGGTCAAATTCAAACGGATGTTCGTATTCAGGAGAAAAGTGTTAACGACGAGGAAAAAATTGTGGAAAAATTGGAACTCGAGGCACTCACGAAGCAGGTACTGTTTACACACAATTTTCGCTTTAAAGAAAAATATAAAAAGACGTTTTCTTATTTCAAACGCATTTTCACAATGTCATTTTCATTACATTTCATTATTATTGCTTTCCCTACAGGGCGAAGTAGCAATTCTTCAGACCAAACCAATCCTAATGCAGAAAGAGGGTGACAGGGAGGGAGCAAAGCTCGAGTATTTACAAGACTTGTATCAAAAGGTATTTGAAGTGAACCTTTATGTACATCGTGACATGCATTGTGTGCATACTTAATTAGTGACTTGAGATATGAAATTCATGATTGGAGTTAAATGCCTGTGCTTTCAGATTTGCCAAAAGCAGCTGGACAACATGGATAGCTTTAGATCATTCACGGGGAAGATTGACAAGCTTGATCATGATTTTAACGCTCTTCTGAGAGAGGAAGTGAAACTGGCCAATCAGAAAAAAAATTCAGTCCGAGAAATCGAACGACTCATGACCCAAATGGAAGCATTAATTACTAGAGAACAAATCATGTTGGATAAGGCAAGTCTATACAGTTCTAAACATAGTATGTGTATTGTATGACGTAATATAAATTGACATACTTTTATTAGGCGGCACAAATGACGGAAAAAATCCAGCAAGCCAACAAGCAGAAAAAAAAGATTCATGACGAACAGCAAAAGATTTTTAATGAGGCGAGCAAAGCTTTGCGAATAACTCAAAGATTGGAAAGATCGATCAAAATGGCGTCAGAAGCTTTCATCAATGCGCGTCTTGCACATGAAAAAATGCGGGCCGCATTCGATGGTACGCACGCATGAATGGTTTACTAGGAGTGAATACAATACTATGCATTTATGACAAGTATATTCAAACGGTTATTTACATCAATTAAAAATGCACTCAAAATTTATGACATTTTAATGGTATCACCAGTCATAAATATTTATGCAAGGAACGATCGTAGAACAACAATCGAAATATACTATAATATAAAATATTTAGAAAAGTAATTACATATATAGTAATTACAACTTTGTCCTTCAGCTGCCAAACCTTCGGAAGAAGACAGCAATTGGCAAAGATTGAGTCACATGCTAGAAAGAGACATTACGAATTTAAAATTAAACTTGGAGAAAAAATTGGAAGAATCTGCAATCAAGGTTAAATATACACATATGCATTGCTGAATTTGGATTATTAGTAACCAATATCTGTACCAATATCATGAATTACACATATTTTCAGGGATCTATGGTGGATCGCCTCAAGTTGAAACTCAACGAACTTTATGATGACCAAGTCTCATCTGGGAAAGAATTGCAGGAATTGGTAACGCATACAACTTACTTATGAATTTCATTAATAATACAATCAGCCAAAAATTTAATGCAATTTGATTTAAAATTAGATACGAACTACGGTCCGCAAGAGGAGAGAGCGAGAAGAGAAATCTGAACAGTGTATCAAGTTGGATTCCCAAATTCAAAGATTTGATCAAGATATAAAGGTTTGAAACCAATTTTCCCGTGGAATATCAAGGCAAAACTTGAATCAATGCAAATACTCAGCAGTTATATATAATATACTTCCCTGCGTTTTAGATGAGGGAGCTCATTATTGAGGATTGTCAACGAAGTTGCAAAGATTTGGCAAAGCTGGTCGAAGTCATGAAGGGTAAAATCGGTATAGTGAAACTGGAGAAATCTGCAGTTCTGAATGACATCACCATCAACAAAGAAAAACTAGTCGAGGCTCGATCAGTTCTGAAATCACTCGAAAATGATATGAAAGTAATTGGACAAAGGCTGCTGGACTTGGAAAAGTAATTGTTTCGCACTTTTCATTGGTGAAAAATTGGTCATATAATGCACATTTCTGTATATTATTCACATCTGATAACGTCGTGCAGAGAGTTGAAGGACCAACATTATCTCATCCTAAACGCGAGACTTGCTCGAGATTCAGTGAGAAATGACACCTTACGAAGTAGGGATAAATTCCGATATCATAGGAATCAGAAAGAGGAACTTCTTCTGGGTAACAAGATGCTTCGAAGGGATCTACAAAGGCAGAAATCTGACATTGCGACGATCAAAAAGGATTTTGAAGAGGCTCTGGCCGAATGTAGCAGCATTGCCATCAACGTTCGAGAGCGTCTGGGAGAAATCTGCACTTTCACCGAGTACATTCGTTCATACGACAAAATTCTCCTCAGAGGCGCAAACGAAATCACTGTTCGTGAACTTGAACGAACTAAATTGCTCAGTTTGGCTGACGAGCTTCGAAAACATGTCCTAATAGTGAAAATCAAGTACTGTAGATAATCATTTCATTAACTACAAGAGAAAACTGGATACGAGTTTATATGATTTAAAGAAATTTAATACATTTTTAGTCAACCTGACGAGTCGGTGTTTTTCAATAAAATTGAAAAGCTACGGAAGGAGTTTTATGAAATAACAGAACAGCGACGAACATTGGAACTGCAGTTAAATGAAGATGACAACCCCCAGAGGCATATACCCACCCCATTTAATTAAATCAGATTTCTCCAATATGCATGCTAATAATTCTAAACAAAAATATAGAGTTCGAGAAATTAATTTTGATCTCATGAAGACACGAGAAAATATTCCAGTACTGGAAAAGAAACTTAACGCAATAGAAGAACTGTTGGCATCAAGGGATGCGATTGGGTTGGAAAGGACGCTCCTTGAAAATCATGTTACCAGGTATTACTAAACAAAGTAATAAACAATGACCTTATTATTTACTAAACAAAGAATTTATTACCAGAATCACGGACGATTCCTTATTCAAAGCACTCAAGTTAAAGCAGAAATTTGGACCTCATGTCAAGGCTCGCGTGACAATAAGAAAGAATTTAAGTCAGGTTTCAAGACAAATTGATGGACTCATTTGTGAGAATTCCATTGCTTCGACTCAGGTAAAATTATACAGAAAATATTGAAGTATATATCCAAATTTTGGCATAAAAATTTCCAATTTTATGATTTAATTCTTTTTTTCAGGCTGACACTGCTGAAACAATGTACATAAATCATTTATTATTGCATTTTCCTGTGTAAAGGAGGATATAAAATTAAATTGGACTGCATGCGTTGGTGTCAAAATTTCTGACAATTTAACGAATCGATTCCTATAATACACAGGTACATTTACTTTCGTAAGGAACTTGCAGAGGCTGAGGAGAACTGTGCAAAAGGATTGCCTCCAAATAAAGCGATTCACGAAGAGTGGAAACGCCTTCAGTGGAAAAAGGAAATGTTACGCAGAGCTTATCAAAAACAAAGTGGATTTTTACGTCCGATTAAACACAAACAGGGCTATCAAGTAAATTCTGAAAAACTACGAAAAACTTGCCGTAGGAAATTGGAAGACCCAACTGACAGCGCATTGGGTTGGTCTTTCAGCGTAGAACAATCAAGAAGTGCGTCTGCCTATCGGCCACCTTTGGAGCTGAAATTTCAAAATTCTGCAATGAACCCACGCCTCTCCTGTACTAAGAGAGGAGTTCTACCTATTTTAGTGTCCACCCCAACTCAGAAGATGCTTAAACCTAAGAAACTAAAGTAGGTGGTGCACAAAGAAATAGCATCCACTTGTATTATATTCCATTGTCATGAAATTAAAGTCAATTAAATTAAAGCAAAATAAGTTGAGTGATAATGTGACGATTATTGGCCGTTATTGTGTCGTCGTTCAGAGCTGTAATTTATTATTCAGCTATTAGGCAGTTCACTACAATAATTACCAATAATAATAAATTCATAAGTATGATTAACATTAATAATTAACAGCCTGACAGCTCCTATTGCTTACATCCACAATACTATAAAGTGACTTAATATGAGCGGACTGCTGGGGGAACGGTGGCGCATTCGGCACTGCTTAAGGTTGTATCGATAACTGGTCTGTACGTCAAAGTTACTTGACCACTATTGGTATTAATCCATGACAGCGTATGTTTACGCCAATGCTGTTCGTATGGACGAGGGGTTTGACCACTGGTGGGTTTTGAAAAGTCAAATTCGTCAATTCGATCTTTAAAGTCTTCTCTAGCGTGAGCTCCGCGTGATTCTTTTCTGGCTTCGGCCCCTGTGATTGTCAAAACTGCGTTGATCATCAAGTTTTGCAGTTCTAGAGCTTCTACCAAGTCTGAATTCCAAACCATTCCTCTATCATATAACTGAAAAGTAAAATAGTCCAACAAATTAATACAGGTAAGCACATATTAACAAGATTATGCCCATTATGTAATAGTGAATATGTGTACCTTGAGATCACTCATTTCTTTGTAGATGTTATTAATCTCCTTAACTCCTTCTTGTAACACTTGTCCAGTCCTAAATACTGCAGCATGGGATTGCATACTTTTCTGCATTTTCAGCCTCAAATCGGCAACTTTAACTTTTCCATCAGCATGACGCAATTTGTCTAAATTGGCAATAGAAAACTCTCCTGCATTGCTGGAAAGTGTACCGATAGTATCGCCAGGTTTGTTTTCTGCAGCAATTGTCTTTGCACATGCTGAAACAAATTAAAATATTATCTTATTACATTCAGCTACTGTATATCATATGTATGTACTTAAATCGACCCTTGAACAAACTGTTAATAAATGTTGTACTTACCACGACCAAATACGACCAAATCGAGTAATGAATTTGCTCCAAGTCGATTAGCTCCATGCACAGAGGCAGACGCTGCAATAACAATAAATTATTAGTAAACCATACATCAACTAACTAGTTAGTAGCATAAATATTCACGTGAACGTTCTCTTACCAGACTCGCCCGCTGCGTACAGCCCAGGTATAATTTTGTCGCCCGACTTGCCATGTGTGAGGGCTTGCCCTTTGTAATTAGTTGGAATACCTCCCATATTGTAGTGGACAGTAGGCAGAACCGGAATTGGTTCTCGAGTAACATCGACCCCAGCGAAAATCATGGCAGTTTCTTAAAGTAAAATCAATTTGTGGTTTTAAATAAAATGCGAATAAAATAATGAAACTGGGCTCTAATTTATGTTATCTATTTTCATACCAGAAATTCCAGGTAGTCTAAATTAAAATATTTTAATACAATACAATAAATCTCATTCATGCATCTAAATGTGCAAATGCTATTATGTTTAAGTACCTGGTCGCCAACTGCTCTGGAGGCAAGTGGTGAAGCTGAAGATAGACGTGATCTTTTTCTGGATAACAAAATAGTCAAATACACATAATTTTAATGATTTGTACTCAAATGTATCTCAGACTGTGTACAGAATCTGTACTACAGATATGAGGGTGAAAGTTTCACCGATAAAAAAAAAATCAAAAATACCTGGTCCACAACCACGACCTTCACGGATTTCAAGTGTCATGGCACGAGATACAACATCGCTGCAAAAGTTGTTAATAATAGTATCATCTTCCCCAACCATTTGACAAGAGAAAGTCAAGCCCAGTTCGTTTGAAGTTTGTCAGTCAGTCGGCCGGTTTCTCTCACCCCAGTGCATAATAATAATATTTTTGTGATAAAAAAAAGACTGAACGATGGATAAGTCTACATATAAGGATCAGGTAAGACTCAATCTGTTTAAATGTTGTTGATGAGCAATAAAACAATACAATAAAATGTATTGTTTTATAGGAAAATCCTGTCCCTGTAAAACGCGTCAGGATATTAGTCGATATTCCCGTGTCAACAGCGCCATTCAATTCAATGACCTGGACCAATTCTCAAGGGGAACAAGTTGAATTAAATGGTAAGTGTAAATTACACTGTGCAATGTGTATAAACAAAGTTATTTAGTAACATAATAATAATAATGTGGTATTTTTTAGTGTTGCAAATGGAGGATGAGTCGTTACCAACTCCATCAACCTCGTCAACTCAAAAGATAAAGTTGGACTCTATCCTCAGAGCCGTGCTACAAGGGATGATGGAAAATAGTGGATATACGGGGGGATGTCAGATTTCTGGGGAAGCGATGAGCAAAAGAATCTCACTAACGGCTGGGCGACCCACGTTAAGAAATCCAAAACAGACACGGAGAAATTCACCCCCATCCAAGTATTTTACAAGGAGATTAAGGTGGCGATGCAAGTTGTAGATGGTCTGTTGCGAGTGGTCAAGATGGAGAAAGTTGGACACGAGTGGAAGTTCAATGGGTGGGCAGGGCGTCAACAGAAATGCAGCATGTCAACATGTACAAGTGCTTGCCACGTAAATGAAAACATGTTTATTAATAAATATAAGCAATGGTATAATTTTCGAAAGGTAATACATGTTTGTATTAATTTGCAGGGTGGAAATTTTTGTGATGCTCATTCCACAAAAGAAGTCCTGTTACTTCAGGACATGAGAGCTACTCCCCCTATCCTGGCATTACTAGCTCCTTCCGCCACAACCACCCCATACACCGAAGGTGAGATTAGGACGAAGTTGGGTGACTGCGGGATTAAGAAAATGAGGGGAGGAAAAGTAGTTGTTGGGGGGTCAGAAGTACGTCATCAAAGCATCCAACTCTATGACTATGTTGTAAAGAAGAGAACCGACAAGGAGGAGACTTTTTTCCGAATAATTGGACGCTGGTCGTATCAGGACGACAACAACAAAGTCCATGATTCAGTATTTGTGAGTATTTTACACATAATTAATAGTCAGTCAGTATTTAGAATTTATACTTATGTAATTACAGTTGGGTGTGTCATTGTTGGTGATGCTAAAGGGAGGTGCTACTTTGCTCAATTCACGAATTCTCTTCCGTTTTGCTGACCTTGTCTGGGTCAAGTCATTTTTAAACGAAAATTGTGTCACATTCAACAAAGGAGAAGAACTTGCCGACGGATCGACTAATCCTCCAGGTGTATCAGGAGAAATCAATCGTTCTCTCCCATATGTCTACATAGGACGTAACGATGAGGCAGAATTTTACGCTGGGGTGGAAACACAAATCGTAATACGTAGCTCTGGGGTGAAAGCTATATACCATGATACCACGGTTGCAGAAACGGGGATGGACCACTTTGAAGAGGATGAAGACCAGCCAATTTTCCAAAGTCACATTCCGACGCTGCTGCAACACGTCAATGGTAGTATCAAGCGGAGTGAATTTAGCCCAGAAGAAGAAGATGAATTTCTCAAAATGGAAAATGCTGCCAATAACTATGAAACACTTGCCCACTCTGCTATAAAGATAGGAGAAATGGTTGGCCAGACCTATAAGGGTGCTCTAGTGAAGGGAACTCATAAACAAATGACTCATATTGATGGTGCTATTAATATTGATGATCTCAAATCTATTTATGCTTTTTTGTTTGAAACCAATCTGGTCATTAGTGAGGGTAGTCAGTTGGAGAAAGGTCAGGATCAGAAAGTTGTTATGAATTTTGTTGTTTAATTATCTTAACGTATGTCATGTACCAATACTTTTTTTATATTAATTAAATAAATGTTGGACCACTTACCGAGACGCTAAATCCTTTGCATTGGGAGCGTATCTTTCCATGAATCGTTCACCTTGACCGTTGATAAGAAACCCCCCTTCACCTCTACATCCCTCAGTAATTAGGCATCCTGCACAATATCATGAATATTATTACACATACTTTCTGAGGGTGAAACCAATAAGCTTGCATACACCTGTCTCCACCTCATCTTACCTGCACCATAAATTCCAGTTGGATGAAATTGGACAAATTCCAAATCTTGGTTGGGAAGACCAGCTCGAGAGACCATAGCAGTACCATCCCCAGTACAAGTGTGAGCGGATGTACAAGAAAAGTATGCCCTTCCGTACCTGATAAACATTATGAAAATTTAAAGTGTGTAGTTGTTTTCATTCATTGTCTTATTTTACATATACAATTATTTATATTAGTTAAGTTTATGTATATAAGAAGGTGTGTTAGTTCCAACTAAATTTACCCTCCAGTAGCCAAGACAGTATTCTTTGCTCGAAATCTATGGATAGTTCCATCCTCGAGACAGAGTGCGATAACACCTCTACATTCGCCTCCTTCCATCAGCAGATCGAGGGCGAAATACTCAACAAAATACTGACAATCATACCTGTGAAAATAACGGTCATTTATTTATTTTGTCCATTGTCTTTATAATATGTACTTCCATCCAAGCTGTTAAACTAAAACTCACTTGAGTGATTGACCATACAATGTATGGAGGAGAGAATGACCAGTTCTATCGGCGACACAACAACAACGATGTGCCTGTCCACCCTTTCCATACTTTAAAGACTGTCCTCCAAACGCTCTCTGATAAATTTTACCATCGTCAGTTCTACTAAACGGCATTCCTATATTGAAAATAAGTATATATTCTAATGCACATAGGTATCACATAGGCTAATTGAAATGACAGGACTCACCGTAGTTTTCTAGCTCGACAACTGCCTTTGGAGCCTCTCTGGTCATGTAATGAATGGCATCTTGATCTCCAAGCCAGTCAGACCCTTTGACTGTATCGTACATGTGCCACTTCCAATTATCTTCCTCCATGTTCCCTAAAGCCGCGTTTATGCCGCCTTGAGCAGCAACGGTGTGAGACCTCGTAGGAAATAGCTTAGTAATCACGGCGGTTTTGAAACCTTCTTCAACCAGTCCAAACGCTGCTCGAAGCCCGGCTCCGCCAGCTCCCACAACAACGGCATCGAAGGTGTGGTCAATCACAGGATATCCCTTTGCCATCTGGGGAGTGAGTAACAAATAAAGTATCTCAGAGAACCGGAAAAATATATATTGTGTTGATCATTCTGCATATAAGTATTTCCTAAAAGATATCTACCGTGGTGGTCGAAGACTTGTCCCTGCTTCCAGAAGACAGGTGATAATTCCTTGGGCATGAAGAAGCCGACCAAATTGGAAGAGTGGAACTGCCGTGCTAAATAATTCATGAACAAACTCAAATGACACATTTCTAGTAGCTTCCGTCGATATTATGCACATATTGTTCAGGAACTTACAGGATTTCCAAACAACACTTTTCTGGATACAGCATTCCCAAAGTGCTGAGCCAGCCTGACAGCAGCCATGTTGAAAGGCTCGAGACCACCTGAAAATGACAAGATTAGAAATTAGAAGTGGTGCAATATAGAAACTCTGATTATGTTATATTTTGTATTTATTTGATTTATCGGTGAATCTATGACCTATTGACCTGAAGACAGGTCGAATTAAAAACGTACCCTTCTTATGTTTTGTTTTGTTGAAGAGGAGGAGGAGGTGGAAACCGCTGTCCCTACCAAAATAATCGTGCTATGGAGAAGTTGTGAATTGAATTGCAAGAGCCCGGATTTGAGTGAGCAGAGTGTCACGTACAGACTTTCTTCGTTTGGGGCAACTTGGACCCAACTCATAATTTTCTCCCACTTTCTCCACGCGAAAAATAACCAAGCAGGCACTTTCTAATTCCAACATGCAGTTTGTACGAGCAATCAAAATTATTACAAATGTGGTTCATGGATTTCTAAATTAAATGTATTGTGGACATTCGTATAAATTTAAAACGATAATTTCATAGAGCGTCCACTTTTCCATCCAAAATTACAACACAACCAAACCCTCAGTGTCGATGTATAGCGTAGAATTCATAATATCCGATAAATTACGTTTTTACAAACCGAGTAAGACCATACAAAGTCCTCTTATTTAGACATTCACATAGGTAAAGTTTACAATATATAATGCGAAGGGAGTAACATGTGCGTCATACAATTTCAAAACGTCAATATTTATAACCTCGTTATTAAAGAAACCATAAAAATAATCAATTTTAAATGTTGAAAATAAATTGAGAAAACACCTTCGTCGCTGCAGAAATATGTCTCAACAAGGACACCAAATTAAAGCATGGATGAATGGCTGTGTATTATGATGCATGATATGATTCGCATTACTCGTTTATTTTTTGGCATGTTTTGTTATGGACTTGAAAAATTCAATAAGCCGCCGAGAGCCTATGAATAAATTGGTGTTTTATAACTGCTAACCCCATTCCATTAATAAGGCAGACAGACAGAGCGTGTATTATAATACGGCATAATAATAATAATGCATAACATGACTGGAGGTGAAGTGGTGGTGGATGCTCTTCATTCATTAATGAGTGTTTGAGTTGAATGTCAAAGTTATTCAGTTGGCATATTATTCATTCTCTTGTAAACTACGCACATATTTTTCCATACCCATTTGCTCGATTCTGTGCAAATAAATAAAATGCCACCCACCATCATCACTCAGTCACAAGACGAAGTCATACCACAGAATAATGTCTCCCATACAAACTAGATACCAAAGGGAGGGCGACCTGGTGGATACGAATTTGACCTTGAATAACCCCGGAACGGTTTGTCGTAGCGGGTCAAAATTTTGAACAGACGAGCATGTTATCCTCAGATAGTTGTGTGCAAAATTTCAGCCCTCTACTTTGAAAAATGCCTGCCCCACAGCCCCCAGAAGCTGAGACAGTCATTTCAACTTGTTCCAGAAAAAATCTCGCCCGTGTTTACAAAAAATTTTATTTGAATTTTCTGTTGAGGAATATGAGTGAGCTATTGGTGACAATTGACGAAGAACTATTTTCCCTACAAGTTACTAATTGGGTTCGAAGAGCTTGCTACACGACAAATGCCGAAAAAAAATTCAAGAAATTTGGTGCTTTTCAGTGAGGAGAACTTTTTTAAACAGTTGATGGTCGTGGGTGCAATGTCCTGTCGTGGTGTCCTCCCACTTATCAAAGTCCCCCAAAAAGTGAAGGAATCTTCGAAGTATTATGTGGACCTTGTACTGAAACCACTTTTAGAATACAATTTTCCTAATTTGCACGGTAAAATAATAATTAAGGTGATTTTTCATCATGACGGAGCGTCCTCCCAGACGGCAAAGTTGACCCAAGATTATGCAAATGACCTTGAACCTAGATTGGGGATAAAAATCATTTCGAATAGTGAAATACCTATACAATCCCCTGATATAAGTCAAATCGACTTGTTTGAGTTCGGATAGATGAAAAGAAAATCTTTCTGTGGGGACCGAATTTTTTAGACGGAGTTTGGAAAAAGTTGAAATGACTGTCTCAGCTTCTGGGGGCTGTGGGGCAGGCATTTTTCAAAGTAGAGGGCTGAAATTTTGCACACAACTATCTGAGGATAACATGCTCTTCTGTTCAAAATTTTGACCCGCTACGACAAACCGTTCCGGGGTTATTCAAGGCCAAATTCGTATCCACCAGGCTGCCCTCCCTTTGGTATATGGATGGATTGGATAACATTGGACGTCTGACGCTGCATGAGACAGAGCAAATAATTCGGTCGGACTGTGCAAAATGAGCAGCAGCTGGATTTGCTAGCTGATGCCGTGTTGTTGGACGAGGACGATAATACGTTGATGTGGAATGAAACAATTAAACGAGTAGCGAACTTTTTAAATCAAGGTCCTCGTCTAACCCTGCCATTTGCGGTCTCTCTGCCCAGAGTGCGCGCAGAGTTTTTCTGCAAACAAAGTAAACTGGCTTCTCTCTCGGCAATGGCATTGAAATTTTTGGGAAGGCGATGCGAATTGTCTATTTAGGTTTGGCTAGCTACATAGCTTGATGGATGCTGTCTCATCATCATCCGGCCCGTTCTCCAAAATAGCTCACCAAACAACAAATCCTCGGAAAGGGCAGACATACGCAATGCTGTGAATCAGAAGCATCCGTATTCCGTACGTTGTGCAGTGGTAAGGAAGGAGGAAGGAAGGAAATAAAAGGCCTTTTTGTGCCAACAAAGTAAATGATCGAAAGCTAAAAGGGCTATGCACAAAAGTCAGACGGCGTTTTAGCAAATTGGAGCAACTTGCTACGCAGTTTATCGATCCGTGGAGTTCTATAGCGAACTTGTAGTGAGCAATTCTACGTACACAAAGATGATACTGCGTCGTAGTAGCTTTCAATTTGTTCTAAACTGGGTGAAAGTAAACCATCCGTCCAACCTAAATATACGTATAATATTGCCTAGTCGCTTTCTTTTTTCCCCTCTCGGAACATTTTAATGGTAAGAATAAAACGCAGTTAGTTTGTGTTGAAGTCCTTCCTGTACACGTCTGCATCTACGTATCAGAAAACACGACGCAGGAGACTGTTTTCCACGCCAGTGAGGCACGAGGATACCAATTTTGACTTTGAGAAATTGGAGAAAGCTGTTTACTTTGAGAGTAAAAAAAAACTGCGACGTTTTTTGCACGTTTCTTTGGGCTATGATATTCCTCTACTTTTATCCATTCCACGCTATTCGCAGTCATTATGCATTAACGTGGGCGCATCTGCACGGTTTGTATGGACGAGGACTGGGTTTGCAAATTTCTTTCTCTGTCTTAACAATTGGTGGCATCTGGTAATTTTTGTGTCGTTATGTAAGAGGGAGCCAGACACTGCGTAGGTTGTGAACAGTCCTTGTGGGTCGTCGGGGGTGGTTGGTGGGTGGCAACTTCGGCGTAAGTGGAGAGAGAAAGCGAAACTTGTTTTTCATATGCTCTGGGAAATAGTGGGCATGAATGAAATAGGAGAAAACCGGGGGTCGGCTCCGTTTCCCATTTACTACGAAACTCGACTTATTGCCATTACTACTACTACGCTTACTACTACCAGCCAAAGTTGTTGGTTGGTTTATTGGCTATGTTAGTGAACTCTTCTGTAAAAAAAAAGCCTCATCATCAGGACACGCAAACCTTCCCAGGATCAAGAAGCTTCGAAAAAAGCTACAACAATGCTACATTTGACTTTTTTATGCTATGCCTACTCTCAAAATTGACGGCTATGTGCATGACGGCATCTTCGGCAGAGTGCGTGCATTGAGTGTGTTGTAGTTTTTAAATGTTTCGCTCTTGTGCAGCTTGAATAGCCAAATGCTTTCTCCTGCTTTCTCCTTATCAGAAAGTGGTAAATTCATCCACCAGTCACATTGTGTACAAAAAAAACATTTTTTAATAGGACGGCGTGTGAGAGTAAATTGTAATCCACCACACGTGTAGTAAGACATACGCCATTTAGTGATGGTACCCCTTCGTCGTAGCAAACAAAACACGGCATTGCTTTTAACACCATCTGCGTTGTTATATGCGTTGTTTTGTACTCCAATCCAATGACTGGTTTACGTACGGCGTAAGCGTAACACCACAACGTCTGGCGTATGTATGTGTGCCTTCTTGCCTTTGCTATTGCCGAAGAATTACGTTAGATTTTGCCGTGTTTCTTAAAGAAGGATATCTATCTGGCTTTATATTTAGAGAAGCTTGTCTCGTTTTTGTGCACTAGTCTGCCAGCGTAAAGTAAGGCTGGTCTTGGCTTGGTGTATTTCTTCAAGTAACTCGCTTCCACCATCAAAAATGCCTCTTCTTAATAGAAAGGGAATTCTTCACTCACTGGCTTTTGCTCGCCTTCTCGACTGGTTTAGACATGTAGATGGTTCAGTATAAAATATATCAAGTCTTGTCTGGTGGTTTCATACAAACACAAATAAATACAATGGGATGGATGCCATGCGATGCAATGCTAAGGTTTGATGCTATGCCTTTATATAATATCAAGACGGACAGACATGAGAATAAGTTGAGTAAACTCCGCCGATCCACCAACTCTCTGCAATAATAATATCAACATAACACAATATTCTGCTACTTACAACTGCTTCGCCACTTTATGATCACACAGACACAAGACCAGTTTAGCTGTTGATAGTTTAGTAGCGAGTGATCTTGAAAGAAAGAACGACGCAAAAGACTCATTTCAACAATCTAACAAAAATTCCTTCACATGCATATTTTGGTGAAAGAGAGAGAGAGATCAAACAATACATCGTTTACTGTTATACATTGGCAATTCCGCCAACTACTTTGCCTCTTGCACAAAAAATTGCTACATTCCTCACCTCATTTTTTAAGAGATCTACAGGAAAAGGATCTTGGAAAGTGGAAAAGCAGTAGTACTTATCTAGTGAGTGATAAACATATTTACAAAAGATACATCCGACGATCCACGACGCGACTACAGTGTATGTTTACTACAAAACTATTTTTGGTCGAGTGTAACAACTTGGCATAATATTGTCGCGTATACAAACAAACACAACGCAAATCTCGTTAATAGAAGAACAAAAAAAAATATTCCAATAACGGAACTGTTTTTTCTCTCTCTTCTTCTCACAGTTCGTTCTTCGTTCGTGTGCACAAGTATTTAGTACCAAAATAGACGAGACAAAACAAAAAGTTCATTTGAACGGGAGATAAAAAGCATATACAAAATATTTCGTAAACACTTTAGAGCCACATGCATCATAGGATTGTGCATTTCCCGTCGTCGTCGTACACATGATAATATCTTTTAGCACAGTTTTGAAAGAGCCATGTACATATTACTATGTGCTACTATTCTGGGCTCGAGTTTGGTGAATCTCTCTTCCCGGAAGGAAGCAATGAATGGGGGCCGCATTTGAGCAGATCAGAGTGTAGTCTGAGAGGCATAGGGGGCTTATACCGGACCAGGGTGACTCTATAGTCCACTACCGTTAACGCCAGAATTGTGCGTTTGTTGTCAAATTCTGGGATCAGACGACGTACTACGAATGAGTGTTGTGACTAGAGAGCGAGTAATATTATCGATTCAGACGAGGAAGCAAAAGCAGCAAAAGTAGAAAAGATTATTGCAGACGTTGACGTCGAAGAAAGCAGCGTGGTTGCAGAATATTCAATAATTCGTTCCTCGTCCAGTTGATTACATATTATTACTTTTGATGGACAGCAATCCAAGCCCTGACATAAATTCAAGGACTTTATTGTGGTCTGTTTGTGTTCTCTCCTCTCCACGTGTGTTTCAAATTGCAAACAAAACTTGACTCATGTTCCAAGGAATCAAAACACATTACTGACAAAACAAGAATAATCCATAGCCTACGGTGACTATAATTGGTGGTTTGGCCAATTTTAGATAAAACAAAGTTTTATATTTAGTCTCTGAAAACTGAAACAGGAGTGGTGTCACTACCTCCGAATCGGACGCCCTCGATACATTATAGGACAGTACAATAAGCTATAGGAATAATAAATAAGGTTGTTGTTTTTATTTAGTTTGTTCGTAAACTTGCAAAAACGACCCGCATTAAATATTAGTCTCAATGTTTCAAATTGTTTTCTTTGTCGGGACAATTCATTCATTCAGCTCATTATGAAGTCATGAAATGAATATTTAATAATAAGGAATAAGGAAGACGGACGGAATGAGACAACCCGAAATTCAATAAGTTCCCTAACGGATGAATACTTAATAATAAATCCAGTAAAACTGTCAGACAGAACGTCACACCAATAAAAAATAACAAATCGAAACAATAACAATAAATAATTTCACTAGTTCAGAATCAATGTCTACCCACGTGCTACATTCAAACAATAAAAATATTACACTTCGCAATACAGAATTGTTGGGACTGAAATTGCAACTTATGCACAAAAGACCCCAAGAAGTGGATGTACAATTTAATTTAGGTGTGGACCCATACTTTCGCTGTTCATTATGTGGGAGAAATTATAAAGAAAGACTAAAGTGTTAGACAAATAATTGAAGTAATAAATCTACCCCAATTTAACTTTTATTTTGATATTACATACTCTAAGAATATGCGATGATAAACATTTATGTATCATTCGTGTAAGTGGAAGAAAAGTGAAGTTATACTGACCTGAAGTATTCGAATTAGTTTTAATCCGAGCATAAAGTTTAATTTGTGCTTGGATTACAAGAGTATGTGTGACGCGATTGAGAAATATTGAAAAGTGAGATTGTTATTCGAAGAGCAATAAAAGCGAGTCTGACCTTTTCTTCGACAAGATTGTCATTCCTGCCCCGTCTCTTGGAATTTGCAAAAGGTGAGCAGCAAGAATTCACTTTCATAATAGTTTATCTATTAAGAATAGAGACTATTCTACACATTATTCAAATCATAATGATCTGCTTATACTAAACAAACGGCAGTATGTGTTATGCTATTGAATAGTGCAATTCTTAAGTAAGATACATAAGTATGATGACATGGCGAGGCAGCATAAATATTATGTGAAAGCATGGTGAAAGCGCTTTCTCGGGTCAGGAATCCTAAGTTAGGATGTATATTGACCCAACCCACAAATGCAGACAAAGTTCAGTACAGTGACCCATAAAGGTAATGAAGTTTGATATTGTGCAAGAACCAAGTACTTAAATACTATGATCGAATAACATGAAAATCAATTTATTTAGAACTGATCATAAAAACTTAATTCATATTTGTTTCAAAAAAAGATGAATAGAGAAGGTGTCGTTTTTATACGTGTTGCTCTTTGAAATTTGACTCTCGATCCATCAAAGTAATTTAATAATCGTTGTTATTTTCCTTAATATCTTTCTCTCTCCCTTCCTTCCTTGGGCCAGTGTCGAGCGTAGTAACCACAACACGTGTGGGCGTCAAATGTGGAGTTATTATTGCATTACATAAGAATAACCTCCTCATAACAGTATCTGGCGTACTTTATTTAGCACAATGTTAAAACAATTTAATAATGGGGTTCGTATACAGAATTCTATAAGGGATAGCCATCTAAAAAGGAAAACAAGCGTGCATGCAAAACAACCCAGTTTTGATAAACTAGTAAACATGAGATTCTCATTAAAGACCTACTAACTATTAATTTTTGAGTTTATATATATATAAACATGTAAATATGTATATATAAACCATTTTAACACCTCAATATGGCCACTCGTAATATGATTGACATGCTTTGATTTGGCGAGATCAGATTCCTTGAATAATTTCAAATTGAAAGTGTGGTGGTGTGGTATGGCATATTGAAGCGGTGCGTGCGTACAACTATGCTACTAGTGAGTACTATTTAGTGAGTGGGTGACTGGTAATAATAGGCAAGGATGACCCTTGGTGACCTTACGCGAACCAAGCTGTCTGGCCATGCGTTCCCTCCAAAAATGCGACTTAGGACAGTAGATCTCAGGAACTCAGAGAACTACGCAGTTTCACTCTCTGTGACTACACGACCGTCTCACTGGCGGTTAGTTGGTGCTCGTTTTTGGAGGGATGCTGTTTATGCTATTTTATTTATTTTTTAATTCCGAGAACCTCACTCGTCAGATTTTGTAGTTAAATTACTTTTGTTTGATTAGATGAGAGGGTGGTTTTAAACCCATTTTTCCCGTTCGGTGTGTTCATTGTTCATTCCTACCTAGTAAATACAATCTCAAACACTATTTGAAGAATAATAATAGCGAGCAAATTGAAACAATTAAAAAACCTACCGAATAATTCCAATACTGTTTAAATTACAAGTTAAAAATGTGGACAACGAGTAGAAAACGGCGTTTTGACAGATTTATTCGTTTCCGGATGCTGACAGACAGGAGAAGAACGGAGATTAGACGAATGGCTCCTTCCATTTCTAGATTACTGCGTGATCGTGATCGTGACGGTAACTTGGAATATTTCATAATAATAAATAATACATGTATGGACTAGTTTCAACCATCCTGCAAAGGTAGATGCATGAGGAATGTGGATAGTTTTATTAATTTATTACTTGGAATGTATCATATACAGCGATTTGGGTATCAAATATACGAACTCACATGAACGGCATTCGGCATTCACAAATATATACAGCTCATTAACGATGAATACAAACTAGATTTTATTGATTGTCTAATTTACGTGGCTCTATCTCTTTTTATTTTTATTTTGCAAGATAAGTTATTTTAAATAACTGGATAATGTTGATATACGAATTCTGAGTTATGGAACCCAAAAAAACCAATAACCATTCTTGCTTGATTTATTTGGTTTTGGGTATTTATTTATTTTGGATATTTTGGATGGAATATGTGTATAAACGGTATATTCAGGTCTAATAAACAGACCAATTATTTTGTGAGCACTTAATTTGTGTTTTAATTCCCATATTATGTCTAAAATGTAATGTGTTTCTGGGTCGAAAACAAAATTACATGCGTATTATGTTATGCAATTTATTTGCCATCAACTTATCCTTAGATTACCTGAACAAAAGCTTCACGGAGGTTTGAGTTTGATCGTGTAAATAAATAAATGGGTTATTTGGCATTGAATATGCTTTGCCATTCATTGCCATATTACAAACCGTAAGGTATATCTGACCAGCAGTTGTATACATATTGTCAGTCTGACAATGTCAGACACAGGCTATGAGGGAAGTAAATAAACACGTTTTTGAGACATAAGATAATAAGACATCAGAAAGGATGAAGCGGATGGATAAGCGCATCGTCAATGGTATATCGAGACCAGTTATTGGATGGGAAATTCCCATTGGGAATGGAAATTGGGAACTTATGACGATTAAAGCGATCTATTATTTGTAGTGGCCTGCTGCATGAAGTTCGTTAAAACTCTTTCATTTCTCGTATGAATTGCTATTGGCTGGATATACGACTGGATGAAATTAGTTGGAGAGATTGGCTTGAAGCAAGTATAAATAAATAAACGAAGAATGATCGAGTTGAGTAGTCCGATAATTAAAAAGGTGTTCATCACACAGTCCAATCAAACACACTTATCAAAATGAGAGCAAAATTGATAGTCAGTTTCATTGTCAGTTAGTTGCATGGATCTGCATAACGGCCCATCCATACACACACGAGGGGTGTAACCATTTGGTAGAGATTGTGATTTTTATTAAAAATTGCATTACTCGTTTTGTCCTTTGAATACCTATGAAGTAGGAAAGCTTTGATAATTGTTTGAGCCTTCTTTTCATTTTGAAACTTGGCACCACGGATATGCCAAATAAATGACTTCATTCATTTGCTGTTGACGTGACTTGTGATGTGGCGTGGCATATTTACTACGTAGTATTCTGTTAGTTTTGCGACTCGTCCGTGATTTTTACCTTTGTTTGTGAACGAACAATGAAGAAGGCACTCACAATCACAATCATTATTTAAGCACATATATTCCGGTCTATCGTCAGTTGACAACGACGCTGTATTTTGTTTATCTGAGCTCAGCATCATCATAAGAATTATGGATTTTTAAATCACGCCATTGCACTTTGCTACTGCATTGTGTCACTTTGGATTTAAGTAATACTCAGTTTGTTCTCAAAATGAATGAGTGGAACCTGCCGTAAAAACGCAGCCAGGCAAATAACAACTAAATAATATTGGCACGGGTATAATTTTAGAACTATTGCAATGATTAAATACATATAAGATTAGTAGTATGAAACTACCAGTACCAAACCAAGTAATATAAAAGTTGACATTTTACCAAGACAGAGTTTGTTTGTTGTTTATCTTTATGCATGCTTCTATTTCTTTCCAAAATGTTTTTACGAGCCTTGAAGATATTAACCCATTTTAAGCCACTGTGTTATGCAACTCTGTAAGTAATTGAAACTCAACTAATATTTGTTTTCGGTTTAACAAATCTTACTATATTCATTTTTTTAGCCATTATATAACGTATGCCAATAGATAAATGACGACTGGCTGTTAGCTATAGATAGATTACCAAAATAAGTAGTGTCTCTCGTTCCTATCATCTTCTTATCTTTTGCTTCAGTTGTCAGTGGCAAAGTCGATTGGATAAGGAATACTAAGATTTTGTGTCAGCATTTAGTTTTAAAAATTCAAGTGCACTACAGTCAGTCAATGAATATAATAGGCATCATTATCAATTGTGCACTTTTATGCATGTAATATGATTTAACGCAACACAAATCATTCAGTTTTCAATTCCACCCTAAATCAATGGATATTTGATAAAATTGAGGAAGAACCAGGGTTCAAGTCAATATAACTTATGCTTCTCGTCCACGACTAACTAACTAAACGCACATAATAACAATCATCATAATATCCGAGTCAGTTAACAGTTAAATCTCATTGAAACTTATATTATTGACTGGCAAGCAAGCAAGCTGGGATTCGGTTGGGTAGCTTGCAACATTCGACGATATTCTGCTATGCTGGATCGAGGATAAAATTGTATTGGATTTTCTGTTATGTATGTATAATGCTCGCTCAATTCTGTCCTTCAGTGAGTGCGACTGGTTCGCTTTTTCCAGAGCAGGCAGATCATTTCTTGCTGTTCGAGAAGCAAGACGTGTATATTCTTCCTCCTACCGTCTTATCCAACATTAGCGTTTATCCAGAGTACGCTAAAATAGTAGCTGATCAATCAAGTACTCCACGTATTTATAAGACGAGTTACAATAAGCTAAATCTGAATTATTGACGTGTTATTCATTTTATGGTCCGTGTGCTGAATTAAACCAAATCTGTTCAATTCAAAATCACAAAGGCAGAAATAAAATAAAACTCGTTAATACTTCTTGTTTGTGTCGATGTTGTAAGAGTTTTGTGACAAATTGTTACTGAAAAATTGTCATTAGGCTTGAAACCGGACGGCAAAAAAACTACACCGAATTATTGTATTTAAATTGTTCTTTGATCTGTGTTTATGCCACTATTTCCGCACCAGAAAAGAACGAATACATATTTATATGGCTTGCGGGTTGGATGAAAGTTTTGTGAATTTAGTGATCATTTTCCAAGCTTCATGAATAAAATATCAATGAAACTATCAATCCAGTAAAGTTAGAAGTGGAAAAAATCCAAGCTCTGCAGACGTATTTCTTTATATCACATATGTATGCATGGATGTGAAGTGGATTTATTCCAAGATACCAGAAATATCTAAATCTCGAGGAAGAATCTGCGACGACGAGGTGTATCGAGCTTGGAAGTAGGTAGGAACTACATACATACATATATTCCAAACACTGTGCAATATATGGTCGTCGTCGTATTTTGTGGGAACTGGAAAGTGCTCGTTAACGTTAAATAATAATAATACCTCTTTAAGCAACTTACAAGAAAGGGAATCGGACCAACTAACAACCAACCACGATTGACGACGACAATGTCAAGTCGAGGTTGAGCTTATAACCTCAACCTCAAGTTTTAACATATCAAAAAGTCGGAGAGACTCATCTGCCTTCGCAGTGATATTATGTGTAAAGCCGTTCTCTGTAAGTTTCGACATTGAATTTTATTAAATTGTTATTTTTCGATAAACAAGTATCTCTACCAACTTTGTAGCTAACCTATTTCATTGAGAAAGAGGAGAGTTTTTCTTTCGCTCGCTACGTGGTTAAGGCCGCGTGTTACTGGGCCAAATGTCAAGCCAAAAATTGTGGGACGTATAATATGTACTCTGCGTATTATTTTATATGAAAACCTGCTAATTTAGATTTATTTTTGGCATGCAAGCTATTATAACAATTGAGCAACGAATGAAAACAAATCATTATGTTGTTGACTATTATTATATATAACTTTTTATCATAAAACAATAAAGTTTGGATGTGCTATCGTAGCGTAGCTTGTGCTTTCACTTTGCTCGGGGAACGCATATCAACCGACTCTTTGACAACTAATGTCTAATCGTACATTGTGTACGGTACACTTGTGCTGATACTGCTTATTTTTATTACGAATTATATTTACAATCCTCCTGACTAACTATAGAATTTCAACTTAAAAAATTATTTTAGTGAATTTTATTACCATTTTCATAAACAATTTTATTTCCAAATCCAAATTACACCACATATCGTAGGCAATGTTGTTACAATTTTTGATTTTGTTACTAGCTCATTATTATGAGAAAAATATCTCTTGATTTTCACATCTTCTTAGATATTCCCCTATTTAAACTGGCATGCAAAATGTTGCATTATTAGCACTAATTGACACAATTGATAATATTTAGTGGTGTGGTGGGTGATGGTGAGAAAGTAAATAAGTTTAGTCGTAAACATGTCATCCTCACGAGATGTGTAATGTAGGTAGAGAGGTACCAGATTCTGGGAATGAAATGGATGAAAAACAGAAGAGATGTGAAAAACAGGATGATGATGATAATAATATGCATGCATGGAAGGGAGGATATTATTGTATCGCATAAGTTTAGTTAGCTTTAACAGTTGGCACCACCAACAAATAACACATCGGTATTGAATGTAAAAGGTCCTCCTTGCTCGCACTGCATATTATTATTATTTGCATACTACTACTACTACTTAATAACTGCCACGGAAAACCAAGTACGAAATTCAACCATGTCGACGACGCTAACTGCTAAGCTAAACTTCGCTTATGTATTAGCGACTCTTGGATAAGAATCGTGCTGCTCCTTTTGCCGAGGATTGGCTCAAGTAGAAGTAGAACGATACATACGGCAATAGTACATAAAGTATAAGAAGGAGAGAGGTGATGGCAAACATAAGAGGTACTGAAGCTGCTGTCGTGGTATTTATCCTCGCTACAAAAAAACACTAAATGGTAGAAATGCAGGAATCGTGAAAAACAAGCTCAAGAGCAACGTACGTAAACAAGTTATTTGTTTTCGCTGAAAACAAGCCAATCATTTCCATTCCACTGACTAACACACAGATATGTGCACATCCTTCAACAACTGTACTGTAGCCACTTTAAGGAGGAGAGTTGATGCAATTGTGTGTTAGTTAATACCATGAAAGTTTAGTCACTCGCTCATTACTTTGTCTCCATTCCTCTGACAAACATTGCGCGTATAGCGTCTCCCTTCAGACCATTACTCACTCGCGACGAGATATTTGTTTACCATCGTCTGGCTTCCCAAATTGAAACGCTGGATTAAAACCATACTTGTATTTCACTCAGCGAGAGCCAACATCGCATAATTGCTTCTCATCCAAGAACTAAGAATACATATTTATTATGAGAAACTAGTGGGAGAAGAGGACACACGGTGGGTGACATTAGATTGCTAAATCTCTTTTGTCAATTACAACTCAGGAGTAAATTTGCCTATTTTTGGTGGTGAACTTGATATGTGTACTCTGGATACTGCATATCCTGGAACCCAACTTAACTGCACATTGTTTGAAGCAAACAATTTTTGGAGAAAGTACAAAAGGAAGTGTGACACACGTGTGAAATAAAACGTGAACGAAAACATTAAAAGTTGGAAAATATAGCCTCGTTTGTGGTTCACTCACACAATCAGATCGGTATATAATAAAAGTGTCCTCCATGTACAGTAGTACAACATCTTCCCATACAAAGCGGTGGTGTATTAAGTACCGTGTTTTACTTTCATACTTGGAAAAAATGGGTACCTGCTCTTAATTGATTAAAATAATTATTCTAATATTTATTTACAATAACGACTTTGTATATCGTCAATAATACATAGTAACAAATAGCTCATTATGTATTGTGAATATGTAGCAGCGTAGTAAGTAGTAGTAGTAAAGTTTTCGGCCTATCGTCTATTTATCGATCGAATTGTTGACTCCTAATGTTATTATTTATTGTGGTCATTCCGCTTCGCCCGCTTATAGACGTCCAGCTTGTTATTATTATTATTGTGGTATGCACTCTGTTGTGGCTAGGTTAATGTAATCATAAATATCTCGTTCCAGAGTAATTCACGGTACGGCGTGAGGAAATAAACCAACGGAAAAAGATGGTTTTGTGGGAAGAACTGTATGAAATTAACATTTTGGTTTGGTTGTTGTTTTTACAGGGCCGTCTCCAAACCACAGCAAGATGAGTGTAACCAACGAAGACGTTAGTGGTGGTGCCCACAATATGACTGGAGAAGGTGGTACAACGCCTACTGCTCCTATACCGCGACAAACAGTCACATCCTCCGCCTCCTCCTCCACCTTGGGGTCAACGACGTCTCCTGGGGTGACCTCGGTGGTGGCGACGCCGACCAGCCTCAATAATGGAATGTCATCCGGAGACGATGTAGCCAAAAGCGGCTACCTTCGAAAGCTGAAGGGGAAAAAGAAGTTCTTCGTCCTTCGCAAGGAGACTGATGCGGACAAACCTGCAAGACTTGAATACTATGCAAAAGAAAAGAATTTCCGCATGGGACATCCTCCGAGAAAGTATGTATTACATTTCACTCACTATTTACATAACTCACTCTCTCGCTTATTCATTCATTCTCCATTCATTCTCCATTCATTCATTCAGTCTGCGAAGCACAGTACTTGTGTATTTCAAGTTCTTTGACTCGTATAATTCCTCACTTCATTCAGTCAATTTCAATCATGCTTACAAAATGTTTAACAAGGTGAGATACGTATTTACAAGGAATCATAGGCTGATAGTCAAGTTATTCCTTGAACTTTGCTGTAAAATTTAAATTGAATTCAAATCTTGCCTACATTATGAAATTGTAATTGGGTCCAAGGTCCCTTTCGACATTAGCATAATTCAATTTATAAATAGATAATTTCATAATCAGGAAGATCCAGAAACTTTGGCAGACTAAAGTTGTAATAACGTCATCTCAGAATCTAATAAGTTATAAATTCCCTCAGCAGCACTGACAATGGAAGGTGTTGCTCAATAATTCACTTGCAAAGCTAAAATGTAGGAGGTGATGGAATATTTCGCCCAATTTAGGTTAATAAGATTTTCTTCAAAAATATTCAGGATAAATGAATAATATTATTAGCTGTAAAAAACTGTAAAAAAAAACAGACCGACATCCATCGTGTAGCAGGTGTTGGAAATCATTAGGTGAAAAAGCAATATAAGCGTAAAAAATGTGGTCGTAACGTTTTCGTGTAAACTGTTCCGTTCATGATTCCCGTTGTTTTATTATTAATCTTTCATACTCGTATTGTACTTATTTAAAAGAAGCTTCTGAATAAATTTCACGAGGTTTGTTCATGACTAGGTTGCATGCATTTCGGCGTAGTGTGTGATTCGAGTTGTTGTTTACTCGAGATTTATATTTATGTAAAAGATTTAAAAAAGCCATCATCGCCTCCGCCTTCCTTTTCTCTCTCAATTTTCGCCCAGCGTGCGTCCTTTGGGTTAATAGAATAATGTAATAAAAAGTTGCAAATGGGATCACTGCGCGTGTCAGTATTACCGTTTAATTACGTCAATATGAAAATTACACCATATTGCTTCGCTCTAATTTTGTGACCATCTTTGGGAAATACAAAATTAATTATCAGAGCAAAATGATTGATTGGTGTAAAAAGCTGTTCATTTATTTGCTTGTTTGTTAGTGGTTCAGTTTTACTCTGCATTTGCAGTTCCGTTGCGGTCACAATTCATAGGAATACATTTTCTGGTACATATATTAGATAATATTAGGTTTGAGAAACCATTCATAGAAAAAACATGTATTATTTTATTGCATCCAGTTGCCAAAAATAGCCCAACTTTGATGACTTTCCTTGTTCTGAATCTAAATTGAAGTAAAAATAAGTGATGGCGGTGGTGCATCTTATTAGTTCACCTGCTTTCATCCGTTTTCATTAATTCAAAAACTATTGAAATTAGTATTTATACCTTATTTACGTGCGCCAGTAAGTTAAATACGCAGCACCTGAACACTTGCATGAGTGAAAAAATATATCGCAAGTCATAAAAATCATAACGTGTGGATCGGAACCGCATAATAATAACATGCTGAATGGCGGTGGTTCACATTCCATTTTTATTGCGTAGTAAAAATTGGACAAACCGCATAAAATAATTGACCAGTGGAGCTCTTTCTGATGTTAGTAGTTAGTCCTTCTCGTTAGTATTTACTATTGACGAACTCCTTGGCGTAATAATAAGTAGAGTTTCATTACGTGTTGTGCAGTTATTGAAAATGCGTATTTTTTTCTTTCTATTTTGTTTCCTCATTATTCCAGTAAATAAAATACTTGTCGTTATTCCAAACTACAGACCTTATGCTACGAAAGTAATGAATACGAGGGCGCCTCAATAAATGATGCAAATCAGTTTATATTTTCAGAACCAGAAGAACTTGTCCAAATTCATTCCATAAATTTTCAACGTAGTATTCACCTAGTTAATTGCCATTCTTCACGTCGAGTCTCGATAGCCTAAGTTATCTAATACTGCTTCCATATAATGCTGGGAGTGCATTGTGCATCAATTTGGAAAATAGTGTTCCTGCACAACCCCATTAGATAGTAATATAGATTCGCATTACTTATTGAGGATCCCTCGTGTTCGGATCATCTGAAATTCAGTCATTTGACATTCCCCGCAGCATGGAATGTTGCCAGAATGTATTAAGCGCTATAATGTTTCCTGTGTGAATAGGGAACGAGTTCAATGGTAGAAATTTGTTTATATTATTTTGGTGGCTCCTCCTTTTCGCGGAAATTGTTCGAATCATATTAATATTATTATTTATTGTAGTGCGTCTTAAGCGTTCTCTGAAAAGACCACATGACACGACGACACGACGCAGATTCTCTTGTAACGGAGTAAGTCCAACCACGAAAAACCATGACATGTATCAAATCCTATCCGAACAAAGTCTTACATCCTTGTAGCACTTGCATATGACGTGGGTTAGTGTTGGATTGAACAGTTGGGTTGAACATATAAACTAAAATACTGTAGGGAGGGATGTCGTCTGCATATTATTATTATGCCTATGACATCTTCATGACGAGATGATATTGACAAATTACTTGATTTGTGACCCCCAGACCTGTTGCCTGCGTGCTCTCCACTCGCATAGTATATTTAGTTTCTGAGAAAGAGTATCATTAACCCTTCATTTCCTATTATTAACCCAATATCTTAATGATGGGACGATGGATAATTAGCCAGTAATCAATCCAACAATCACTCAACCTAAGCCTTAACGGAAAATTCCACACATAGTTGTCAACGTTCATTAGTCGAGATATTGGCAAGCTGTCTCTATTCTTACATATTTATGTTTGTTTGAATTTTTTATTGTAAAAATCGGCAACTCGTCATATTAACCCCTTCGCTTAGCTAGTTGTTTTCCTTACCAGATTCTCAATCGTTGTGGGTGACTAACCAGTTCTTCTTTTGCAATAATATGTATGCTTCTTCTTGTTAAAGCTGAAGGTTTGCATAACATCATAAAAGGGAAATAGATGGGGGAATATTTCAGCAGTCAATAATTACTACAACGTCCATCGTCCGTTGCGATGATGATGGGGTTGTTTACCAAGACTACAGAGTAACGTTTTAACCTGAATCCTTGATGGAAATCATATGTACATATGCCCCTCGTCATCTTCATGACTTGTTAGAAATTGGAATTTGGAAATGAATGACACGACACACCACCAGAGAACACAAAAACAAATGAGTAATCCAAATCCAAGAATTAGGTACGACGACAACCACGACGACGACTCCCTTGCGCCTATACAAATAATATGATGATAATACTAATGTCATTTATTGCGACTAAATACATACATCGCATAAGCGCTACTTACTTGTTAATCTCTGTTGTAGAAACTGTTTGGTTCATTATTATAGAAGTAGAAGTATGTGCTCCACTCACAATTATTTATTACAAAGTAATCATTCATAACATTATTACATTTGTGTGATGATCACATCATGTGATGTTATTTAGTCATGATCCTTTGCAACGCAGTTTGTCTTTAGTTATAAACGTGTGGAATTTAATACAATTGCACGTTTTCCCCATCGTTTCGAAGACATAATTCGTCATTTGGTTTGTTTACGTTGTGGGCGCTCCGTTTCACTCGTACCTCTTTTAAATGCTAGCGTTTCGGTTGTTGTTCGTTGATTATTTCATAAGAAACATAAATAGTAGTTTGCAAAAACATTGCCAATTTCTTTGCAGAGTTCAGCCTTGGGGTGGTACAAAATTAAAGGTAAATATTTTCTGGAGGTCGAGATGAAACAATTAAGGAGGAACTTGACAAGGTGCGGTTTCATCATAATCCTAGCGTCGACGTCTAATAATAACGTAATAACATGTCCATAACTTTCGCATTTTTGCTATAAATGGCGTATTCGTTATTTTTGTTATGAGATATCCACTCAGCTGTGCTACACGCGTTGTTCTCTTGCGTCAAGCCTGAGGTATAATTGGACATTGCCAATAGACCGTGAGAACTGGAAAATCCATTCACATTTTTTCAAGCACCTGTTTGGATTTTGAGAAGTACTGCATAAATAAAATGGCACTTCAACCCGACATATTCGGCATGCAGTACTTCATTCACAATGCACAGAGTGAGGAGAATAATTATAGATATTAGATAACGCTTTGATGTTTTTATAATCAAATTTGCCCAATTTAAAATGATTAAAAAATACGATGAAGAAATTAAGAATGGTTGTTCATAACATTTAATTAAGGATTATTTGTGGTATTTCCTGAGTGGGTTATTTCTGGTTATAGGGACCGGTTATATACATAATCTCACACTGGTGCGCATGCGAATAGTCCAATTTATATGTTTTTTCAAATTTCAAATTCTTCCCATTCCTGAGATGTGATTTGATTCCATAACCTCATTATTTCAGTAACAAACAGTGCAGTGCCCTTAATAATAACGCTGCAATTTTCATGAAACCAACTAATAGTTAAACCTGATCATAATCGTCGTGAGCGTTAGCAATACGGAGTTATTCGTGAGATTGGTCTCTTGTACGAGGCGACATTTCAAAGAATTTCGTCATATGACGAGAAAATTTGTTGTTGATTATTAAACTGTTTTCGTGTTTTCATCTGTTTTACATTTGCACATACAAATAATCAACTTTCAAGTTGTATTGTTTGTTTCATTCTACATATTTTCCATGTACCTTAGCATGTACATAAGTACGTTTGAGGTTGTTGTTGTTGTTTGAATCTCTGCAATAATGTTTTCCGCTTGTGTGGCTGAATAATTAATTATTCATGCACTGTGATTTTGCTGGGTGAGCTCAAATCAAGCTGTAAATTGTATCTCTGCAGCCAAGTCAGTGCATAAGGCATACATATACTAGGAATTTTTACATTCAAATATCAAAATTCAATACCGAAATTTTGTGTCTGAAAATAGTGCTTTGCGAGAATGCTTTTGGTAAATTGAGAGTGTTGAATTAAATGTTATGC